ATTGCGATTGGAAGGACGAGCTAAAGTCAAAATTAAACCCGAGAAACCGGGGCGACCGAGCCACGCCGACTCGAGACGAGTCGTTCCTAGGGAGGGGTGATGTCACGGATAAGACCCGGCCCGTCCGCTCCGGCGCTGGTGTCGGGCCATCGCGGGCCCGTAGCACGCAGCACGTGACGACGGGGAACATGCGCCCCAGTAGGAGGAACGCACAGGTGGGAACACCTGTTTAGCCCACAAAACACTGTGAGTTATCAGTGGTAACCCGCCGGGGTGCCATTGACAAGGCTCAGTATTTTCAGAACATCCCCTGAGGTGAATAATTGCTGGGAAGAGGGGTGAATAAAGTTGAGCTCTAAGGCAAAATTCGTACTAAGTCCAGTATGTAAGGGGTGAATAAAGGTGAATAATACAATGACCAAGTCCCCAGAAGTCCTGTTATGTGACATGTGTGACACATGGTCCCAGAAGGAAATTTTATTGATAGGCATTGTAATTGATGTTTCAGTAGCTGCACAATGCCTTTTCACAGTCGTATAGAGTTACACGTATATTAGATTTCCAAAAAAAGGAAAATTTCACCATTTAGTAGTCCAATCATCAGAGAATGTCACAAATTGTCACAAAATGATAATTCTCTATTTTGACTATACAAACAACTTTCATTAAGTGATGTATAGTAGCAGCTGAATAGTTGTGCCAGCACAAGCCAATCACTAGCTAATCTACAACTGATGAAATGATATCTCAATAACTAGAGTAGCTACAGAGCTAATTGAAGTATTACCAAGGATACTTGAATGGGAGGTCAATATCCCTATCAACACCATGTCATCAGCATACCCATACTGTCGCATGATTATCTATCAGACATTTTGATCTGGCTATATCTTTGGCAGTTCTCTATGGATTCGAATTATTATTTCACTAGTAGGTAGGTGGTAATATTGTCTTAATATAATCTGATATGACTATAGTCCCAAGCCTTTAGAATATACTGTTATACCACTTTTCTGTAGTTTTTTTACCTCAAATTTGACCAGGTATAATGATGACCTGATATCTGGGTGATAAATGCATGGATGACCATGGGGTGAGTTTTGCTATGGTCAGATGGACATCCCTGATAGCCCTACAAGTCACCCATATTTTTAGGCACCCCATATACCTGTCTATATGGCTCATATCCTATTAGTTCAATCTCTCAATAACTCACTCAGAGGTAAGGAATCTCTAATGAGATGAAGGGAGGAAGTAGAAGAGGGGTTGCCCTGAGAGATGTTATGCCTCCCATGATGTTTTATTCTTGAAATCTCTTGTTATTCTCCATTCTACATATTACTGCTATGTCACAAGATATTAACAATACAGCCATGATCTGCTAGTTGATTGTAGATCAAAATAAGTCAAGTTCAGTCAATGAGGTATATACACAACCCACCTACTCTGATTGATGATTGTACATACCTGAATGGTGAAATGAGGCAGACATTCCACTGCAGGTTAGATGCAAAACTAGTTTACATGAATAGTGGGATCTATAGACTGAGTATTGGACATTGAGATGCATGTATTGGGGTATTGGGATATCTACTAGGACCCTGTACTGAAATTGGTTGGGGTTATGGCATGTGTTACAGAAGGTAGCTAAAGAGAGGGTAGATACCTATAGAGCAGAAGAGAGTGTCTTCGCTATTACAACTGGTCAGAAAATAATTTCAAGTATGATCCAAGACTTGATTGTAGGATGGTATACACCTTCAAATGAACCTGTCTAGCACTTGAATCAACCTCATAGCTATAATGGATCTCTCACAGTAGCATTATCAGTGTTATCTATTCCCAAAATGATGGGTTCACCATGGTATGGCCTGTGGAAGTCTGAGGAATTTCAGTATATTCAATGGTAGGGGTATGATCCACCTCCCATAAAGTGGTGCCCCTGCCTCTCTGGCATATCTCCATCCTGGGTTATGTGGCACCTAAGGTCTCCAACAATTGACTCACCCTAACACATGCTACAGCATCACTAATGAGTGGGATTATAATGGACCATCCTGTGATATCATATCAATTTAGATCATGAGATTCCATACATAGGGTCCCAAGATATCAGCAAAATACTCCTTAACTTAGTGTTTACACATGCTTAGCACTAAATAGATCAAGTTAATAGGTCACAGATGATATGGAACATTGGGCTAAATAGGAGTAGGATAATATACCTTTCAAATGAGCCTTTCTCCAGCTCTATCCACTGAGACTAGCTGGAGATCTAAGCCTATCTTCCAAAGTTGATGGAAATCAAATGCCACTGATGAGAGAATGCCTTGCATTTTCAGCACCCAAATTCAGTTTGGATTGGAACTAGACATAGTCAAACATTGGCTTAGGGTATCTGAAGGTTCAAGTCAGCAGTCTTATCACTTTAAGCACCCACATATCCTCTTTCATGTGAATAAATGGTCAGTAGAGTGATTATATCATATGATAGTGATTAAATGCCATGTTCAAGTAATGATACTCTGAAAGGCCTTCCTGGTACTACTGAAATCATGTATTTACATCAAGTGGTGATAGAAATAGAAGCCCATCAGTTGAACATCAGCTAGTGATTGGACAGTTCTCATACTACTATTCAGCTGCCACTATACATCACTTAATGAAAGTTGTTTGTATAGTCAAAATAGAGAACTGTCATTTTGTGACGATTTGTGACATTCTGTGATCATTGTGGAAGTTTCCTTTTTTGGAAATTTCTTTTATGCATCACTCTATGTTACTATATAACTATATGATATAGTCACTAAAACTACCAACTCCAATCTCTATTGACCAAAGTTCCTTTTTGGGACACCGTGTCACCTGTGTGATGGGATTGATGTTCCTAATGTAATATATTGATTGTGGAACCATTTTCCCAAGAGGTCACTGATTTTGATCCCTGTGTGATCTTACATCACTCCCACTTGATTTAATATTGATTCTCCTTTTGTGCTAGACTAAGCCCATAATATTACATACCGAGTCTTCGGCCTGAAGAAAAGGTGATTTACCCTCCTATATATGATCTTATATTAGTCATATCATATTCCCTGAATATAATATATCAAAATATATGCATAGCCCATATGTTGTGCATTGCCCCTCTGGGCTATAACCCAAATGTTGCTCATTGCCCCAGCTGCAAGGAGTGACCGAGAACGACGCGTCGAGCCGTCGCCGAGCCCAACTCGATACAAGGGGACTGGGGAGGAGTGCTAGGAGGTTAGGAGTAGCGCCTGGCCCACAAGGGATGTACGATCGTCCCCTCTGCGGCCAGGAACAGGAGCGAGGAGGAGGAGGAGAGGCCGGGGTGTCCGATCACCCCCCTTTGCGGGCCCGCGTATATAAGGCGCGATAGCGTGAGTCATGATATTGCACAGAGCTTCCCGGACAAGACAGACCGCGCAGCGGGGGAAAGAGGAGGAAGGAGAAAGGAGGTGCGAGAAGAAGGTCTGGAAGGCGGAGCGGGTGAGCGCGGGGGGGATGAAGCACATGTGGCTGCCGAGTAGAGAGCAGCTATTTAGAATGTCGTTTAGCGAGGAATACGAAGACTCTCAAAACAAACGCACCATGCTCGGCCAAGTTTCGTGCTCCACGCCTTTCCCATCCACACGCAGCAGCACTATCTTCGTCGCAGGTTTCCAAGAGCATTGTAAGCTTGCCGGTCGCCGACATCCAGGGCTGGTAGAAGCCAATAAAGTGTGTCCCAGCAGCGAGGAAGCTTGAAAGAAGCCGCTGTATCAGACATTGAGGCAACTTTTCGAGGAAAAGAGCTTACCATCGGCCCGCTTCTGCTGTTTCTCTCCCAACGGCCAAATACGGGTTTGAGAACGGCTATCGAGCCTTGTGGCAGTGGTTAGCCCCACAGTTGCGCCATGGGGAGCCGAAAGGTATTGACTGCCTATCCAGAGGAAGAGGTCGTTGGGATGTATGTGACCGACGTGACCGACGTGACATCAAATTATCAACAAACCTCATTCGAGAACCTTGGAGTCCAGATGTACTAGCTCAACTGAGCTGAAGTGGTCTACAGACTTGCTCCGCCTTGCTCAAACTCCCCTCCCCAGCATTTGGCTTAGCTCGGGTAGACTAACTGGGACAGGTGCGGATCGTGCTTGTGCTTCGCGGTTATGCTATGCTAATTGTCTCCAGTGGATGAAAGGTAGACATCTGCCACTGTATATGGCACACCGCAATACTGTAGTATTTTACTCAGTTCGTATGTCACGCGTCACACAGGCTATAAAATTCGAAATTTTTCCGCATGTCACACCATTTTGCTCAAATTCCTGTCCCAAAAAGGTAATTTATGACATTTCCGGGCGCCTCCGGCGCCAAGAACTTCCTAATTGGGAAATAATTCGAATTCCAATTTTTGTATCAGATGTCACACTATTTTTGGCATTCGAATTGAGTAAAATACTACAGGATATTCCTGCCTGCGAGTTTTCCAGTCTGTGCGCTCAGGCTTTCGCTTCCATTGCATCATGCATGCTTCAAGTGAGCTAAACAATCGTCGTAAGCTCATGGGCTTCGCCAGCCACCGGCAACATCGGAAGTAAGCAAATCTGCATCTGTCCTGTGGGATACTGACGGGACACACAACAGCATAGGTGATTGTCAAAACCGGCCAGTTTCATGTTTTTATTCAATAGTGAGTCACAGGTCGTCAGCGACACTGCAAGTCAAATCTGCGCACAGCTCGAATATCCGGGGTCAACGGGGGTCCGCGCTGTTTGCCAGCGCGCCTTAGTGGGAGCGTGAAGGGCATGCCGTCTTGCCCGCCACGGTGACGAAGTCAAAGTCAGCTCATCTGCCCTTTGACTTAGCTCTTTCATTAGTACTCCCAAGACGTTTCCGGCGGCTCTTCTGGCTTTCGCCCACCCTTCTCGTATAAGAGTCGAGGTGTACGAGCGTTTGCGCCCCTCCGTCTTCCTCTCCACCCTCGTCTCTCTATGCGGACTTTCGCCGAATCCACTAAGGAGGTGCCCGCCTGGCAGATGCATCAGCATCGTCCCAGTGCAACCCCGACAGAAGACATTCGCCCTTCATTGGACGGCATAACCGCCCTCAGTCACACAGCGACAATAACGACCACCGCATGCTCTACGGTGGATCTCACCCGGGCCTCACCACCGCTTCCGGAGGGCTGCACCTCCTCCTACCTCGCTGTATTCGGGGCGTTTTTCGCGCTATTCGGGACATTTGGCCAGATGAATGCATTCGGGACGTTTCAAGCGTGGTACGCGCAGCATCAGCTCAGTCATTTGGACGCCTCGACGATAGCGTGGATTGGCTCGCTGCAGCTCTGGGTATTCTTTTTCTCGGTGCGTGGCTTTGCTTCAGGGAGGTTACGGTTTGGCTGACGAGATCCTTTTCATGGCGCGCAGGGCGGACTCGTTGGGAAAATCTTCGATATATACGGACCACGATGGCTGATGGCTCGGGATAGCACACTTGCGGCGGACACACACATTCCGTAAGTCTTTTATATTGATTATATCTACGGCACTTGGCTTCTACCTGCGGCACATTGGATTAATCAGCCAGCAAATCACGCAGAAAGTGTGAGCATCAACGGCACATTGGCGACCTGCGGCACATTTGATCATATCTCAGGTACTTGATGTGACCAACAGAAGTGATTTTCCCATCAAATGGAATTGGCAAGCACCGCGCAGCGGGCCTCCGCGGCGAGCGGCAGCCCGCGGCAGCGTGGGGTCCGGGGCAAAGCCCTGGTCCGGGTCTGGGGTGGAAAACCCCAGCCGCCGCGGCCGGCGCCGCAACTGAGTCATCCCAAAGGAATATTGCATCAAACACCTCAGGAAAAGAAGCGGGAAAAAGAAGTCAAGCTCCGCGCAGCGGGCCACGCGGCGAGCGGATGCCCCCGGCAGGGTAGGTCCAGGGCAACGCCCTGGTCGGGGTCCGGGGTGGAAAACCCCGGCCGTCGCGGCCGGCGCCGCAATCCGAACGATCAATCCATGTCACAACATTATTATATTATTTCATTCTACTCGATAAACTACGTCATTTTCATTTGAATCAGCGGCACATTCACGTTGCCATCAAATGTGTGTGTGCGCCGCATATGTATAGTACTCCTGATGGCTTCCGGAACGATCCTCTACGTATTCAGCATCATGATGACGAGTCTCTCAACACGATACTACCAGTATTTATTAGCTCAAGGGCTATTATTTGGGCTCGGAGTCGGCATGCTGTGAGTTATTCCGTTTGATTCCTCTCCGACCGCGACATGTGTAGTTTCTACCCGGCATTATCGAGTGTCGCAACTTATTTCAGCCGGTATCGAGCGACTGCACTAGGCATCGCTGCGTCGGGCTCGAGTTTCGGTTTGTCCTCTTCTAGTATCCCTTTCGATAAGCACTAAGTATCTTCCAGGCGGCTTCGCGTGGGGAGTGCGGATACTAGTATCGGGGCTTGTCAGCGCTTGCGGCGTTTTGTGCTGCATTGCGCTAATGACAGTGACGCGCTACACGCCACCGAGAAGCAAACAGTTCCACGTTGACGGTCTTCCCTACCGTAGAGGCGCGGGTACCGTGCATCTCAAGTTTTCGCGACGCGAGATTCCTTCTCCTCGCAGCTGGGTCCGCCCTCGTCGCGCTGGGCTTATTCATCCCCTTCATCTTCATTGTTGACTATGCCCACCCGATCGAGTCCATTCCCGCCCACACAGACTTTCTCGTCCTCGAAATTCTGAACGCGGGCAGGGTCATTGGCCGGGTCGCGCCGGCGTGTCTCTCCGACGTGATCAGGCGCTTCAATATCCTCGGCCCCGCCGCGTTCCTTTGTGGACTTCTATGTCTGGTTATGGGGCTCTTCGCCGGCTCGTCGCTCGCGCTCCTCCTCGTCTTCGCTGCCTCCTACGGCTTCGCCAGCGGGACGTTCATCTCGCTCATCACGCCCTGTGTTGCTCAGATCTCGGAGATGCGGCAAATTGGCTGCCGTATCGGGCTGCTCTACAGTGCAATTTCTGTCCCGTGCGTTCTTTTGGCATTTCATGATCTCTACTGACTCTAATCAGGGCTGTTGTCGGGCCGCCCATTGCCGGGTTTCTCCTCCATGCCGACGGGGGCACATATAAGGGGATGATCCTTTTCGCGGGCCTGACGGTCATATGCGGCTCGTTCTTGCTGCTGGCTGCACGCTGGAGGATCAACCCGCGGCTGTGGGCGCGTGTGTAGTGAGAACCGCTCATAGAAACGAGCACGCAGATGCCGACGCCGGGCCGCGCGCGCGTCGACGAAGTCGTCGGCCTCGGCCCGCCCGCCGGTGGGCCGGGCGACGTGAGGGGCCGGCGCGGACCAGTGCACAACGCCGGGCGGCGCTGGGCTAAGATTATCGGTGGAGCGGAGAAGCTAGCAAGGAGCGTGATAAGTAACCCCGGGCCGAAGCCATAAGCGATATGTACACAGTTGAAATGTATACCCTGTCCAGAACCAGCATGAGCCATGCGCGGTAGCGAGCACATAAGGAAGCGCCGTCGAGGCTGACATCAATCTGTGACTGGTCGGTGACCCGACCCGCCACGTATTACTCTTGATTCTCTCCTTCACCTGCCCACGCAAACGAAGCCGCTCGCCACTGTCTCATGTGCCTAGCGACTAACATGCCCGTACGGCGGTGGGCCATTGGACTGTCCGATGGCTGCTCCAGGCGCAAACACGTCCAGTAGGCCGACCTTCGATGGTGCTGGTGACCTAGCTTGTAGGAATGCGCTCACCTGCCCGCAGCTGGCAAGCATTTCCGCTCCCGGCAAACCTGAAGGGCACAGTATTGCGGATTCGGACCGGTCAAGACCTTTTGGGCAGAAATGAATGATCCTCTGCGGTTCATAATCAGGTGCGCCAAGCGTCAAAAGCCATTCTCTGGGGGCTCATGCCATCTAGAAGCTAGACCTGTCTTCTCCCGGTCGCCACCCTGAATCCATCGAACCGCTCATCGACGCGCTGCTCGTTTATCATCGACCTCGGCGTAGCGACGGCTTCGCCCCCGCCAACGCGCCTTGGGTGTGTCAACTCAATCAGTTCTCTCACACGATCTCTCACACTACTAGCACTGCTACATGGCGCGTCAACGCCGCGTGTCGGCGCCGTGCGGAATCAACGTCCTCTGTTGTTGCGGGTGACTATATGCATCGCCGTTCTTGATGTGTTCCCGGCATCTCTACAGACCAAGCCCTGCACTAGAGCGGCATCGTGTTCATGATGGAGGCCTTGGCAGCTCTAAGCGGCGGGCCGCGTTGCAGGTCGGCATGCAGAGTGCACGCGATCGGCTGGAGGACTTGAAGAGCGGGGTTAATACTTGGGGTGAGTGTTTTTTTGACTCAAGAGGAAGGCAAGACTGATTGGGGGCAGGTATTCCGTGTATTACTGGCAGCGTAGAAACCGAATGAATACTTGGGGTCATACTACCTGCCGCTGCGTTTGATTCAGAGCTAGTACTCATAATAGTGCTGCCGAGGCAGCTGCTCTAATCTCCACGTGTGTGTCCCCACGAAACATGCATGCACCCCGAGCATGGCGTGCATCCGTCTGTCTGCTGGCAATTGTAGAGTTTAGACATAGTGTCTCGCTTTCATTTGTGCAGGTCTCTGGAGCCACTTGATGTCTTCGCTCGTCGGCGTCATCACGAGCTGCTCATAAGGGCGGAATCCGAGTCGGCATGCAACCTGGCACACGCAACGTGTACATCGCCACAGCACTCTTCGTTCTCGCTTTAATTATCCCATACACCATCATTGCGGCTGTCGATTGGTGAGAGGATGTGGAGGCAATATGGATGGCATGACACGGAGGCACCGCAGACCAGACCGTCCTTGACCACATACCACCACCCGCTCGGCTGAATACTCGTCGGAATCGTTACGCTTTGCCAATGGACACAGCACAGCAACATTTTGTAGTCAACATCAGTGGTGTGTATGCTCAGCCACTCATAGGTTCAGGCTAATGACCAACGACACAATTAGGTGGTCGCGGAGGAGGAGGTGGGGAGGGAACGGAACGGGGCGGAAATGGGGGAACTGGAGGGGGGGCAGTAATCACGGGCAGTTTCAATACCGCCCATTATCACACATACCCTGCTCGGTGAGTCTTGTCTGCCAACTTGACCACTGAACTAAGATATATATGCTAGAAACTTTGCCCCAGATGGTAAGATTCGAGTTTTATAATCTATTGACTTTGATTGAAGAATGTGTCTAACAGAACCATACCATGGGTGTTCCCGTCCTGTGGAGAGCTTCACTGGTCGCCAAGATATTCTTGCAAAGCTGAAGGAATTTTTTGGAGAGACAAGCCTCCAAAGTCCAAAGATTGTCCTTCTGCATGGGTTGGGTGGGATAGGGAAAACCCAAACTGCACTTCAATTCATTGCAAGCTCTGGCTCAAGGTATGATTTGATGATTATAGCTATACACAGACACTTATCAGTATAAGATTTAAAAACCAGTTCAAGATAGATGCCAGCAGTACAAGTACCATTGAAGCAGGATACAAGGAAATTGCCCGAATTAAACATCAAGAGATTACAATAACAGCTGCACAAACATGGCTTACTGCCACATCCTTTTTGACAACACAGATGATGTAGAGCTGAATCTTTGGGAGCATCTCCCAGAGTGTAATCATGGCAACATTCTGATCACATCACGAAATTCAGAGTTGGGTATCCACACAAACAAAAAGTCCATCAATGTATCTGACATGTCTTTGGATGAAGCATGTGAGATGATCTGTGGTATTGCACATATCAGTGATAGGGAAATAGCAGGAAGACTTGCAAAGGTAAGGATTAATACAAATATGTGTAGCATTAATTTTTACATTATGTAGGAGCTTCACTATTTTCCATTAGCATTGGCCCAAGCTGCTGCCTTCATATTCCAATCCCCCAAATTGCAGAAAAACCCACTGGAGTACCTTGAAGTTTATCGTAAGAACAAGGTGAAATACTGGCAGGAAATTCCAAAGCAAGTAGCTTGGAAGTATAAGGCTACAGTGTATACTACCTGGAGGATCAGCTTTGAAAACCTGTCTCCCATTGCCCAGCAGGTGTTACAAGGATGTTCTTGGATGCATAATAGCCAAATCACTGAGGCACTATTTAAAAATGCCTTCAAATATAAATGGGATAAATCATGATGGGAAAATGTGGAGATTCCAGGACAGATGCCGAAGCACTTGGCTCAGGCAGTGGAACTATTATCACAATTTTCAGATAAGAATCAAAACTGGGATGAGTTTCTGTTTGAGAAGACTCTGAAACAGATAGAATCATATTCATTGATTACTTTACGGAAAGATGGCTATTATATCCACCCATTAGTACATGAATGGACCAGGATGACAGTATCACAGCAAGAGGAACATACGATGGTAATTACTCTCCTGGGGATGTCAGCTAGAGAGACAACAGTACCATATGAAGTTGTAGGATTGGCACAACATTTGAAGACAGCTATGACAAGGCCAGAAATAGTGCCACAGCCTTTGTGAATTCCATGTTATAACATATACCAGAAGGCGGGCTGCTTTGGCAATGCAGCAGTTCTGGGGGAAATTATTTTAAAGCAGCGAGAAAACCATTGTGGCAAGGGGACCAACCATCGAGACACAATTCAGACCAGATCCAACCTTGCCGCAATATACTATCACCTTGGCATGTATGTCAAGGCACAGGATATGCAAGAACAGGTCCTTGAACAGCGTATCCTCCAGCTGGGGGCAGACCATCAAGACACAATTAAGGCCAGATTAAACCTTGCCGCAACATACTATGCTCTTGGCATGTATGTGAAGGCACAGGACAAGGAAGAACAGGTTCTTGAACAGCGTATCCTCCAGCTTGGGACTAACCATCTGGATACAGTTCAGGCCAGATCCAACCTTGCCTTAATATACTATGCCCTTCGCATGTATGTCAAGGCACAGGACATGGAAGAACAGGTTCTTGAACAGCATATCCTCCAGCTTGGGACTGGCCATCTGGATACAATTCAGGCTATATCCAACCTTGCCACAACATACTATACTCTTGGCATGTATATCAAGGCACAGGACATGCAAGAACAGGTCCTTGAACAGTATATTCTCCAGTTGGGAACAGACCATCTAGACACAATTAAGGCCAGATTAAACCTTGCTATAACATACCATACTCTTGGCATGTATGTCAAGGCACAGGACATGCAAGAACAGGTCCTTAAACAGTGTATCCTTCAGCTGGGGACAGACCATCTAGATACAATTAAAGCCAGATCAAACCTTGCTATAACATACCATACTCTTGGCATGTATGTCAAGGCACAGGACATGCAAGAACAGGTCCTTAAACAGTGTATCCTCCAGCTGGGGACAGACCATCCAGACACAATTAAGTCCAGATTAAACCTTGCTGCAACATACAATGTCATTCACAAGCATACTAAGGCAACATACCTGACAGAGCAGAGCATAAATATACCAAAGGCTTAGGGCTTAGCCTCCTAAAAAGGAAATTTCAATCATAACCATTTAATATAATAAGCATACTCTTACACTTGTAAAAAATATTATTATGATCTTACTTATGCTTTTATAAAGCTGATCATCCCTCCTCATCTAGCCTTATCATAACCTTTATTTATAACATCAGACAGGTCATTAATTACTGCTCTAGTGTGGCAGTGTAGGAATATATGACTTATAAGGCCTGGGGTGGGTTGCTGGCTGTATAGGAAGCCTTAGGCTAAGGCCAACCCTAAGGCTTACAATCGTGAACTAACAAGACAAGCGAGATAGGCAGGGAAGCAAGACAGGCAAGTTCCCTACCCAATCATGCTTCAAAGGCTATTTGAACAATATGGCTTCACATAGGGAGTGCGGATATCCGGGCTTGTCAGCAGCATTTTGTGCTGTATTGCCCTAGTGACAGTGAAACGCTGATAAGCCACGTTTTGGAACACATACAGGAAACCACTGTTTTTGTTCATTTCATGGGTACAGCACATGTCTAAGAACTGGCATGAGTCCCAAATGGCCAGTTAGGGAGATATCTGCAAAGAGGTGTTTTGCCTCGATCGTCATTGACAGTGACTGGTCGTTTTTGGAATGACTCTTAGAACAACCAAAACAACAGCAGAACCCAAAGAAACATAGAGGATCTATCCAATCCTTTGTCAAAAAGGAGTGTAAATTGAAAGGCATATTTGGTTTGGCATGCATTGGGACTCAAACTCAGAATGCTCCGACGGCTCAATCAGGCTTCGAACGAATCAATCCCTGATAGTATTGGAACACGGTTTCAGAGCTTATGCAAGGACAAGGGCATGTGGAGGTGCAGTTAAACAGGGAAACAAGGGCTTGGCTACAGATTGCGGCGACATCAACCAAACAACTCGACAATAGATTGTGATTATCTTGTTAGAGGAGTTAGGCAGTAGTGTCCGGCAGTTGGCCTCCAGTTATGGATATCACTGGAAAGCTAGGAAGCAGAGCTACATGACTACAGTTAGCGGACTGTTCATAAAAACACATAGACGGTTGCAAGAAAGGAGAATTTACAAAAGTCATATGGATATCGCTGGAAAGCTAGGAAGCAGAGTATTAGGGAGAGATTGGAGGGTGCCAGGTCGCAGGGTGGAGATGGGTGCTGCGTAGGACCCTCTGACCATCAACACAGATCTTTACCCATTTGGACTTTAGTTTGTTTACTTATATCCTCTAGGTCTTTGCCTTGTTTCGTTTGTCTTGTGTATGTCTTCTTGTTCCCCTTACTTACTCTGCCTTTGTACTTAACCCGCAGGGAGATCCTGCGGACCACATCAGATCTCCCTGCGAGGTCATATGCCTTATGCTTACCACTTAGTATAAATACTTATACTCTACACTCCTGTACTTTAGTTTTCTTATTAACATTTCTTGCCTTGCTACATTCTAAGCCTTATCACCTTCGGCTTTTCGAATGGCACTTAACAAGGCTTTTATTTACATACTAACATGCTATAGGAACCACCGTGAATATAACTATTCAATAATACTTAATTAATTGGTTATTTTCAATTTCTGCAAAATGATTAGCATACAAAGAATTAAGATTGCTTATATTTATGGGTATATAATGGTACACAGGTCATTAGAACTTTCTACTGGGGAACAAGAGTTTCAATAATTCTTTTTTTCAGTTCTGAGGTCTAATAGTCAGATGACTATGGCTCTGAACCACAATTTGCTGCCATTGAGCCTCCACCACTGGCATTGCAGCTGGGCGTTCAGCACCTTCATGATTTCTGCTATATTCTGTACAGAATACACAACAATGCTTCCCCTTAATAAAGTATGTCTGCCTAAATGGAAATCATCAAATTGCAAGATGGATTTCCACATATGTCTATAAGTATGTAGTTAGTTCCACATTTCAAGATTGAGACAAACAATGAACAGTTTGCATAAGCCACTGGACAGCCACCTGGTGACATTTTGCCATTACACACTTGGTGGCTCTATGTGAAATCCATGCAGGAGTGCTAACACAGAATCCAACTGGGCCAAAAGACTACTATGACCAGATACTAATCATATGCACTTCCACTATATATAGCTGGTACACACATTTGCATGCATGTAACACTCCACAGTGGTAATGTCATTGACAGAGTGTCAGGGTTCGGGTCGGGCCGTCAGGCCCTATACGGCCCATCAGCCCTCACCACCCTTAAGAGCCCTAGGGCTTGACAAGCCCTTATAATTCACCAGCTCAAGCCGCTGAGCTACAACACTAATATCCCAGTGAAGGGACATAATCACGGATCACGCTTTAGTCAGCCATCAAGCCATCATGACCCGCCATCAGGGATCATGATGCGCCGCCCGACGCCCTTGACAGCAGGCCCAATTGGCCCCAGACAACCACAGGGCCCAGGAGGGAGCTCCTTACTGTTGCATTGCCAAACACTCCTTAGTGTCGACTTTGGCATGGTTCCTTTCCAGAAGAATGGTCCCTGGGCTCCTAGCGAAGCGACCAGGAACGACCAGAGACAGTCCCTGCTCCATTCTGATCGACCCTCAGCGGGCCCGATCGGCCCCTAGCGCCCACAGTATATAAAGACTAGAGTATTACTCCTGTACCTTAGGTTTAGCATTGAAGTCTCTTTCTTTGAACCCTACTCCGGCCTGGTCCCCTAGAGCGGGGTTGCTGCGACCATACCCCAGGAAAGGGGCATCTAGACGACTTCCAATGCTCCAGGCTAGCTTGCCTCATTGACCTGAGCCCTTGGTTGGGCTGGACAGCCCAGGCTCTTGTCTCTTATGTTCACTCCTTATCCTAGTCACTTCCTGCTTGCTCTCTGGCCTCAAACTCCGGGTTCCACTGGTACGGGGGCGATGGGAGGGTGCAGGCCCAATTGGGCCCGCATGCTTGCACTAGCTCTCTACAAACAGTGCATACCTGGCCTGGATCTGGGGATCTGTACATTGTCACATAAGTCTTACTGGCATAAATACTAGAATCATATTGCATTTCTATCCTGCACATCTATGCCAGCAAGTAGCTTCATCATATGTAAATTGCAGCATTATCTTTGAGGAGGGCCCCTTTAGCAACAATAGGAAAGCTTCAATTTTTCTTGAGATATGCTGCAGAGAATCAATAGATGGCTTCTCATATGCTTCAGATTGCCAGGTTATTATCCGCTGGTAGAATTGGTTGTGAGGTCTATGAGTATATTCTATAGACCAATCAAACTTAGGCTTAGCATGATATTTACAACGACCCATGAAGTTATTAGGGAAGAATTTGTAAACATCTTCAGGCTTGATGGTGTCTTCTTTTATCATTATTATTTCTTTATTAAAATGAGATAAATGACAAAGCCCTTACGATATAGTAGCTGATGGGCATTCCTAAGGGCCTAGGAATGACAATATCAAAAATTTTGCCATAACTAAAGGATTTGGATTTTTACTCACACGACCCACTAGAATCTTGATGATAATAATTGAATTTTTAGGTGTTAATGCATGAGAGCATCTTTAGTTTATATCTGTCCAGCATAGCAAAAGTTTGATATGGCCAGAGACATCAATCAAAACATCAATGTCATGCAAAAATATCAATTGACACCTTTTTTCTATCCAATAGACATACATCTACAGTGACCAATAGAATACTGGCAGACCATTGCTCAATTTGCTGCAATATGTAGATGATTCCACTCTAAGAGTAGAATAAGATTTGTTAAGAGTTTGCATACACAATCACTCACAATTATGCCATGGATCTGAATATATGAAACAAATCAGTAATTGTTCAGATTCCTGTAATATAGTTTGGAGTACATGCCATTTCTAAAGTTACTGTAAGACATAATATAATGTCATCACACAAGAGGGAAGCAACTTTGCTTTCCATGGAGGCCTGAATATCTAATATGCAAAATCTCAATTACATATAATTATAGTTATATTTGGCAGAGAGGGAACATACTGCCTTGATATACCAAATATAGCTGCCTTGTACTAGAACCAGAGGAGCCAAATATCTTTATCCAATTAGGATGCCTATTGATAAATCCCCCAATGTGTGATTTCATTGAACTTGCAAAAGGAGCATGACAGAATAAAAACTTACCACATCAGATTGGAAATAAGTGAATTGACTTGGTGTCTCTGTTTGCCCATTAGAACTCATATGTAGATAGGATCTTACTTTACTAACAGTAACTCCTCTTGCCTTGAGACCCGTGCCTGTGAATACATGAACAATAACCATATGTGTATAATGTGTTGCAGCATACAAAGCCCACTCGTTCTGGACTCGGATGACAAGCTGTTTGTTCAGCTCTAATGTTTCCTTGTGGACTATGTGTGCATAAGATAAAATGGCCAATTTGATAGACAAATGTTGGAGCATGCTGGTACTACTGTCAAATTTTGTTCAATTCGAATGCCAAAAGTAGTGTGACATCTAATACGAAAATATCAATTCGAATTATTTCCCAATTAGGAAGTTCTTGGCGCCGGAGGCGCCCGGAACTGTCAAAAATTGCCTTTTTGGGAGAGTTTTCAAGCAAAATGGTGTGACATGCGAAAAAATTTCGAATGCCACAATATTTCGTCTTCTGTATCATTCAAACTTGAATCTGCTGTGATAGCATTACCTGTTGGAAATTTGAACAGAAACAAGTGCTGGAGACATACTACCAAGACTGGAAGTGCCAGTGCCTACTCCAGTGGAATTGTTGACAACAAAGTATCCACCCGAGATGCAGACGTTCTGTGCCCCATTAAACATAGATAGTCCCCTCTTGATACAAAATAGATTCTTGAGTCTTGACAAGAGGTTATCACATGTTTTCAATGAGGAAGTTCAATGAATTCCATACTTTATCACCCAATTCTGAATTTCTGCCTCAGTGCCTGTAACATAGCTCTGGCATCTGCTAACACGGTAAACCATCGAGGTGGCATCAGGCAGTGCAGAAATCTATAACATAGCCAACATCACAGTTGTGCAAAGTTAGCCAAGAGCCATGGAGACAGCATATGGGCACCTCGGGGAGGAGTAAATTGGGTCGCAAAATAGTAGTTAGAGAAGATCAACACCTTTCCGTCCCGATCCGGCAACTTCCTCTCAAGGCTGTGCGGACTTCTTGCACCTTGCGCCTTGCGCTCATACCTCATCGCCCCTCGACGCTTGGAAGCAAGCACACAGCAGCACAGCAGTGGATTCAAGATACATACAACGTAGACTACAAGCCAAAAAGACCAGATAACAACGAGACAGCATGTACGACAACGGAAAACAAGACGATGGAGGTATAGTACAAGGGCGATGGCAGTGGGGAGAAGCGATGTACAGGTACAAATGCGAGTGGACAACAAGAAAAAGAAAAGAAAACAAGACGCACAGAGCTACAAGAACGCCAGGTTATAGCTCCTTGAAATGCAAATCCCAGTTCATCTGGCTGTTCCGCCACAGCCCATCGAACGCGCGCTCGCGCCCGAGCAAATCAAAACGGCGCAGACCCTGGCTGTGCTGGGCCACGAGCGCATCGTCCGACAGCGCCGAGCGCGGGAGGCGCCGCCGCAGCTCTCTGATCAACGCCTCCCGGTCCTCTTCATACAGCTCTTCGATGTCGAGGGGGACATTATAGGCGTCGTAGATGCCCTTCAAGACGTCGAGCACACGCAGCCCCCCGGTCCCCGCCCTTTCCACGCGAATGCCGCCGTTGTGAATGTGTTTGGCGCGGATGGTCATCGTGTTGAGGACCGTGTGGACCGACGCAGGCGATCGGATGTCGTGGTGCCCGATGAGGGAGACGTCACGCGGCCGGCGGATGTCGAGAACATTACGCGGATCGCGCGGATCGCGAGAAAGGTCGTAGGCTATGCACGGGCTGGTGTACTCGCGGTGCCCCGGGCGGCCCTGCTGCTGCTTCAAGCGCCAGTCCAGCTCAATATGCTCAGGTGCCAAGGGAAGCTCTTCGGGGGGGTGGTATATGGTGCCAGTGATCCGCCCTGTGATGCTGCCGGCTAGAGTAAAGCTCGTCAGTAATCGACTACCGCGCACCGGTACAACTCACAAGTTCCGCCTATTCAACGAGGTCAATCGTGGAAGAATCGCGCCAAAAAAGCACCACCTACCACTTGGCACCCGCTGTCTGTGATTCGTCGAGCCCCGCAAAATGGACACCGGACCGTCGGTGTACAGGGCCTGTCTCTCCTCCGGCGTCCTCTCGCGCCCGCGTACGATTCCGCGTAGCGGACTGATCTGCGGCTGTCCAGCCTGGGGTGCGGAGCCGTTCTGCCCAGCGGCCTGATTCGACGGCCCAGGAGTTGCGTTGCGGGGAGCTTGAGCCGCGGGGTTATTTCGGGCCGTTGCCGGAGTCGTGTTGCGGCGGAGAGGGCGCGGGGGCGGCTCGGGCTCATCCGCGACCGAAGAGCTCCGGCTGCTCGGCCGCAACGGCGAGCGACCAGAAAAAATGTCTTCCAACACGTTTCTGTATTCCATTTGAGTCTCGCGCGACATGGGAAGGGGCCTTGCCATCGGTGTCCCGGTTTCTGACCTGGACGGCGGTGCCGCTGCCGCTGCGGGTGCCGGTGCTAGAGCTGGTGCTGGGTTGGGAGGAGGCTGGGGACCGAGATGTGGGTGTCCCGGAGGTGGCGGCATCATTCCGTTGGGCGGTGGTTGCATCGGAATCGGCTGCGCGGGGTAGCCATGTCCAGGTGGGCCGCCACGACTGTGCGACCGTGTGTGTCGATGACGGGAGCTGGATGGCGGGAGCATATTGGGAGTGGGCTGTCTTCCATGGGTGTGTGGCGCGGGAGGAGCAGGTACAGGGGACGCCACGGAGGCTTGCAGGCCTAAAACACGATGAGCTCGACGTTGGAAGACACAAGGAAACAAGGCAGCTCACGAGCAGCAGTCGTATCCAATGCCCCTCGCGACGGTTGGGGCATTCGCAATTCGGGAAGATGGTTCTGGGGCCGTGTGGACGGCCGTGTGGGCGGCCTTGTGGCGCGGTTTACGGGTGGCGGCGCTTGACTCGTAACCGGGGCTCGGTGGGCAAACACATTCGAAGCATGCGGGTGGCCATGGCCTAGAGGAACATATGGGGAGGGCCCGACCCACTGGGGCGCGGGCGGGGGAGCGTACATCGACACATTCGGCCACTGCTGGGCCATAGCCTGGCCCCACGACGGTTGCGGGGACCGATATTGCTCGCGGTAGCCCGCAGGGGACGGCGTCGTCACGGGGAGCGCAACGCTCTGCATGAATGGGGCGGGCGGATGCGCTCTTCGCGGGGTGGTAGCAGCCATCTTGTGTTTCCTCCAGTGGTTGTTGCCGAAGCCAAAGCACCACACCATGCGACGATATACGGGGCGGGGGAGCGTTGCGGGGGAGAGAGAAGGGAAGATGGAGGGAGGAGACAAGAGGGTCAAGCGCCCAAAACGGCCGTCATACTCAGATGCGGCGTTTTGACCTTGCGGCGGATGTGGACAAAAGTGAGGGAAAAAGATTGTGACGTGTGACACGATTGGCAGCTGGATGGCCACGCGTCCGCTGTCGCCCGATCGACCCCACAGGCCGGCAAAATGTGGTCAAGGGCAGAGAAAGAGAAGGAGGCGTGGCCCACGCGGTCCGCTGCACCGGGTCGCATTCTCTCGTTTCGTGATCCCGCCGTTCCCACGTGAAAACTTCTGCGGCAAGTCTGGATAATGAAAAAACTATTTGTGGGCGTCGATGACTACACAAACAAGCTTCGCATCCTTCGCTGCGAAAGTATATCGTGCGCCAGGCGCCGGCTGCACCGCACTGCTGCTCTCACCGGTCCGTTGACGCTCTCGGCAGGGCGCAAAACGCCGGCGGGTGGCTGGAATCTAGAAAGCAGACGAAGCACTGGCAAGTGACGCACCTCTACACCTTTCGCGGGCGACGTGCAGCACAAGCGCCCAAACGTCCAACACTGGTTATCCGTCGCATCGCATCGACCCGGCCGCGGGAACTTGAACACGCAGAGAAACCCGGGGCTCCGCGCCGTATATGGCGAATGTCCGGAAGGGGTTACCGCCTCACGGTCGATGGGCGGGACGGCGGGGAGCTGGAGGGACTTCAAGGACGCCTCGAGGCAGCCCTGAAATACACCAATGACCCCGGAACGCTGATAGAAGGACATGGCGCCGGCCTACGGACCGGCGACGAGCTCTAAAAAGACACGTCTGCTCCGGGAATCCGGCGCAGAGAAGGTGTCTTGGCTCCAGGGGACACTCTCCTGATGACACAGTGGCGTTGAGGGCTGAGCTCTCGGGAAACGAGTGGTGCGAACGAAATCGGAGCTTGTTGACCTGTTATCTGATCCTGAAAACACACCCGTGCCAGCAGAATGTCTCCGAGATAGATACCTCAGATCGATATGGCCTCGAGGCGGACCCACAGAACAGCGCGTGTCTGCCAGGGAGACAAAGGAAGGACCCGCGAAGGTCATAAGGTTCGTAGAGTCCGGCCCAGAAGCAGTACGCAGCGAACCTTGCAGAGGAGGCGTGGCGCTGACAAATCAGCACTCCATGATTGCTTCAAGTTAGTCGCCAGTGGAGTCCGAGTCCCAACTCCCGGAGTACTATTCAAAAACTCAATGCTGTCGACCGAGCAGCACGGACCACGAAAGAATGTTGCAGTGGAAATGAAACGCCGTCTTATGCATTGGAAACAGCTCGCCTCCCACCACCCAAGTCGAAAGCCTGTTATATCCCACGATGAGTGGGCGAGGCAAGACGGGGTCATCCGATCAAATACGATCACGAGACATCCGAGATAAGTATATTTGCGCGTCATGCTCATATAAGTACATTAATGTTAACAGATTTGTTTTCCTTCAAACGGTGCTTACTTTCTCTGCACCCCGGCGTTAAACGTTTCACCACGTAAGATTCGAAAATTCGCAAGCAGCCGTCCAGACCGCGGCGCCGGGCCTGCCGGAGGCGCAAGCTAGAGCTTCGCCCCAAGCGCTAGCTTTCGTGTACTTCCATGAGCGGTTCATACTACACACGCGCCCATAGCCGCGGGTTGATCCGCCACCGCGCAGCCAGCAGTAAGAATGAGCCGCAGATGACCGTCAGGCCCGCGAAGAGGATCATGCCCTTATATGTGCCCCCATCGGCATGGAGAAGCAACCCGGCAATGGGCGGCCCGACTACAGCGCTGATTAACAAAGTCAGCAGAGATAAAATATTAATGACCCCCCCAAAAATGAACTCACGGGACAGAAATCGCGCTGTAGAGCAGCCCGATGCGACAGCCAATTTGTCGCATGTCGGAGATCTGGGCAACACAGGGCGTAATCAGCGAGATGAACGTCCCGCTTGCGAAGCCGTAGGACGCAGCGAATACGAGGAGAAGCGCGAGCGACGAGCCGGCGAAGAGCCACATCACGAGACATAGAAGTCCACAGAGAAATGCGGCGGGTCCAAGAATGTTGAAGCGCCCGATCACGTCGGAGAGACACGCGGGCGCGACCCGGCCGATGACCCCGCCCGCGTTCAGGATGGCGAGGACGAGGAAGTCTGTGTGGGCTGGAATGGACTGAATGGAGTGGGCATAGTCGACGATGAAGATGAATGGGATGAATAGGCCCAGCGCGACAAGGGCGGCCCCAGCTGCGAGGAGGAGGAATCTCGCGTCGCGAAAACTTGACATGACGGTGCCCGCCCCTCTGCGGTACGGAAGGCCGTCCACGGGGAACTGTTTGGTTGTCGGTGGCGTGTAGCGCGTCACTGTCATTAGGGCAATGCAGCACAAAACGCCGCTGACAAGCCCGGATATCCGCACTCCCCACGCGAAGCCGTATCGTTCAAATAGTCTTTGAAGCATGATCGGGTACATGACACCGCCTGGAAGATACTTAGTGCCTATAGAAAGGGCTACTATAACAGGACAAACCGAAACTCGAGCCCGACGCAGCGACGCCTAGCGCAGTCGCGCGATACCGGCTGAAATAAGTGGCGACACTCGATAATGCCGGGTAGAAACTGCACATGTCAGAGGTCGGAGATGAAGGAAACGGAATGATGACTCACAGCATGCCGACTCCGAGCCCGAATAATAGCCCTTGAGCTAATAAATACTGGTAATATCGTGTGGAGAGACTGGTCATCATGATGCTGAATACGTAGAGGATCGTTCCGGAAGCCATTAACCATCGTGGTCCGTATACATCGAAGATTTTCCCAACGAGTCCGCCCTGCGCGCCATGAAAAGATCTCGTCAGCCGAATGGTAACCTCGCTGAAGCAAAGCCACACACCGAGAAAAAGAACACCCAGAGCTGCAGCGAGCCAATCCACGCTATCGTCGAGGCGTCCAAATGACTGAGTTGATGCTGCGCGTACCACGCTTGAAACGTCCCGAACGCATTCATCTGGCCAAACGTCCCGAACAGCGCGAAAAACGCCCCGAATACAGCGAGGTAGGAGGAGGTGCAGCCCTCCGGAAGCGGTGGTGAGGCCCGGGTGAGATCCGCCGTAGAGCATGCGGTGGTCGTTATTGTCGCTGTGTGACTGAGGGCGGTTATGCCGTCCAATGAAGGGCGAATGTCTTCTGTCGGGGTTGCACTGGGACGATGCTGATGCATCTGCCAGGCGGGCACCTCCTTAGTGGATTCGGCGAAAGTCCGCATAGAGAGACGAGGGTGGAGAGGAAGACGGAGGGGCGCAAACGCTCGTACACCTCGACTCTTATACGAGAAGGGTGGGCGAAAGCCAGAAGAGCCGCCGGAAACGTCTTGGGAGTACTAATGAAAGAGCTAAGTCAAAGGGCAGATGAGCTGACTTTGACTTCGTCACCGTGGCGGGCAAGACGGCATGCCCTTCACGCTCCCACTAAGGCGCGCTGGCAAACAGCGCGGACCCCCGTTGACCCCGGATATTCGAGCTGTGCGCAGATTTGACTTGCAGTGTCACTGACGACCTGTGACTCACTATTGAATAAAAACATGAAACTGGTCGGTTTTGACAATCACCTATGCTGTTGTGTGTCCCGTCAGTATCCCACAGGACAGATGCAGATTTGCTTACTTCCGATGTTGCCGGTGGCTGGAGAAGCCCTTGAGCTTACGACGATTGTTTAGCTCGCTTGAAGCATGCAATGGAAGCGAAATCCTGAGCGCACAGACGGGAAAACTCGCAGGCAGGAATATCCGTGTGTCAACGCGAGAGGCAGTGCGGATGAAATATGGTCAAGCAACACGAGCGGGTGTCCGGCACGTTCCTGTCATTCACTGAGTTGTTGGAGAGATATGCTTAAATGCTACGCACTGAGTTTCTTTTCGGAGCGCAAGGGTGCCCCTGTGCTCCGTTGCTCCACGGCGTTGAGGTTCTGCTTCTCCGAAAGCTTCCGCCAGTGAGAGCATTATCACAGCGCCCGTCCATGACGCGGACGCTTGAATTAATGGGCTTGATGCGCTGGGCGCTTATAGTCGCTGGTATGGTGATATCAGTATTGCGGTGTGCCATATACAGTGGCAGATGTCTACCTTTCATCCACTGGAGACAATTAGCAATGCTGCTACTTGTAGCATAACCGCGAAGCACAGGCGCGATCCGCACCTGTCCCAGTTAGTCTACCCGAGCTAAGCCAAATGCTGGGGAGGGGAGTTTGAGCAAGGCGGAAGCAAGTCTGTAGACCACTTCAGCTCAGTTGAGCTAGTACATCTGGACTCCAAGGTTCTCGAATGAGGTTTGTTGATAATTTGATGTCACGTCGGTCACGTCGGTCACATACATCCCAACGACCTCTTCCTCTGGATAGGCAGTCAATACCTTTCGGCTCTCCATGGCGCAACTGTGGGGCTCACCACTACCACAATGCTCGATAGCCGTTCTCCAACCCGTATTTGGCCGTTGGGAGAGAAACAGCAGAAGCGGGCCGATGGTAAGCTCTTTTCCTCGAAAAGTTGCCTCAATGTCTGATACAGCGGCTTCTTTCAAGCTTCTTCGCTGCTGGGACACACTTTATCGGCTTTTACCAGCCCTGGATGTCGGCGACCGGCAAGCTTACAATGCTCTTGGAAACCTGCGACGAAGATAGTTCTGCGTGTGGATGGGAAAGGCGTGGAGCACGAAACTTGGCCGAGCATGGTGCGTTTGTTTTGAGAGTCTTCGTATTCCTCGCTAAACGACATTCTAAATAGCTGCTCTCTACTCGGCAGCCACATGTGCTTCATCCCCCCGCGCTCACCCGCTCCGCCTTCCAGACCTTCTTCTCGCACCTCCTTTCTCCTTCCTCCTCTTTCCCCCGCTGCGCGGTCTGTCTTGTCCGGGAAGCACTGTGCAATATCATGACTCCCGACTGGGCTCCCTGGTAGCCGAAGTCGAGAGAGAGAGGTCTTGGAAGAACTGGCTAAAAGACGCTCGGAAAGGTGTTTCTTCTGCTGCTTAGCTCTCCTTGTATTTACTCAACTTTTTCAGACAAGCCTCTGTTTCGACCAGGTTGTTCTTCTCCCTCGAATCCTTCGCGCTCTCCTCCAAAAGTACTACACGCAGAATGGATCCCTTCAGCTTTCTTTCCCGGTGACACGTTCCCCCTGGAAACATGCGACAGGAAAGGTGCTGGAGGTCTACCCAATGAAGATGTTTTGATTGGGCAATGACGGTGCGTTTCCTTCAAAGTCTTCGTTTTCCCGCTCAAGTGGATTTCATCGCAGGATGTCGTCTGCTTGATAGCTGCTGCTCCTACTCCATCTCCTGAACTCCTCACTCGCTTCCTTTACCGACACCTTTTCACTTCCTTTCGCCCTCGCCGTATCGACCGTCTTGGGAAGCACGATGGAAGGCTGGCCGGTGAACGAAGTAGGAAGAATGATTCCGAGGAACTAGTGAACGTGTGTTCCTGCTGTTCTACATAACCGCATTTTGATGATCTTTTCAGGCTGTAGAGCCTTCCTTTGGCCGCTCATCCAAAATCCTTCACCCACGACGATTTCGATGAAGGTAGGTGCCTGGCACCTACCTTCGAATATAACCATGCGACACATGACTGAGAGAGAATGAAAGTCACCGCAGGGACACTACGTAGAGAGGTCTTTGAAAAGCAGGATAGCCGGAAGGCACTTAGGAGGAATAGGCGGTATTAGGCGCGCATCAATCAAATGGCAGCATTTATCTTTTCGCCTCATAGCAACTGAGATTGGCGAGGAGTCTTCCTCGTCCTCAACGCATGCCATTGCTTCTAAGAGTAAGCACATTGGGTACACCTCTGTTGCTTGGGTGTAAATACTATGGGTTTTTGACGTCTATTTTCAGGGTCGGTATGTCTGTGTCTTCGGGAGGGGCTGAACTGCCACTGCGCGACATATTCTGGACCATTGTTCTGACGTCATTGGACGTGGCCGACGCGCTAAATTTAACAGCGTCCGCGTAGACCCTATAAAGCTGTCTGCATCAACGCCACCATTTGCTTTGCCAATGTTCTTGCTCTGGGCAGTCACAACCCTCACAACAAGAAACTCTCCGGACATAACTGGCGTCTGCGACAACATCCACGACTGCCGAACCCTCTACGACATTGTCTCTGGATGTGTCCTTACTGTCTTTGCCTGTGTATGGGTATCCGTCCACCCAAATCTTCCTCCGCGGTCTACGCGAGCGGAGCCGACATTGCTGGACGGAACACTAGCTTTGCGTGCCCGTCTGAAGCTGATGTTGGTGGGGCTGCTTGCGCCAGAGCTTATTGCGGGATTCGCGCTCCGACAGCGTATCATCGCCCACCATTTCTCTCGCAGTAAGCACTTTCCCTGATGCGGCAGCGGGACGCGTTTCATTGATATGTAGAGCTTTTCATCTCAAAGACGCATGCCTTCTTCATCTGCATGGGCGGCTTTGTCGACCGCAACGGCCACCCGCTTGTGACTCTACGCCAAATTGTGGGCTCTTATGGATTCTACGACCTGGAAGACATGCCCCTGCGCGACTTCCCGCCCGCCACCCTTGCCGCGATCCAGACCATCCCCCGCGCCGTGATCGCTGACAAAAGCAAAGGAGACGTATTCACCAAAGCCGTGGCGTTCAGCCAGGGCCTCTGGTTCGTTGTGCAGTCTCTTGCCCGTCTCGGACAGCGGCTTCCCCTCACCCAGCTGGAGGTTGCGACACTGGCGTTTTCGGCGGTGAATATCTTCACGTGGATCTTGTGGTGGGACAAGCCGCTGGATGTGAAAGAGCCCATTGTCATATCTGTTGGCCCACAACCAGATTTCGATGGCGTCGATGAGCTCGGCCGCCCACCCGTTGCTGTCCCGCTTACCCTGCGCTTCTACCGTCTTGTCGGCTTGCCATACCCGAAGACGAGCTACAGCCCCACCAAGGCATTCTCTGTCCCCACTTTCTGGTACGCATCATGGGGTGACTCTATGATCGACCTCGAGGCAATCTCCCTCATGGGACAGCTCTTCATTGCTTGCTTATTCGGGGCCATCCACTGCGGCGCGTGGAACGCGGCTTTCCTCACCTACTTTGAACGCGAAATGTGGCGCATAGCGGCGGTCATCCTCACGGGCGCACCGGTATTGGCCATCGGGGTGTTTCTCATGGACTCTATGCGCGGTGTCGACTTGGAAAAGGCGACGACGTTGGTCTTCATGCCATTTATCGCAGTGATATATGTCCTGACGCGTCTGATCCTGTTGGGCCTGCCGTTTGCGGCCCTTCGCACGCTATCACCCAAGGATTACTTTGCTATTGACTGGAGTATATATATACCACATTTATAGCTCTCATTGTAACGCTAACTGGGACTTCTGAGTAGAGTTAAATTTAAAACGATTTTCTGTTACAAGCCGGGTATGCGTGAACTTATCTGGCTATGATACGTACATACTATGTAGTAGGTACACCAAGCTGTTAGGGTTTACTAGGCCTACTAATATCCTCTTTTGGAGCAGATAAAAGATGTTTAGGGGGCAACTACGTAACAGGTTGGGAATCAAGGGAGATCTAACACACTTAGAGGTGGGAAGGGGCCCAGAGCAAGCTCAATGTGTTGACCTTTAATCTATTTTCTTGGCAACTACATGTGAGCAAACACCAGCACCTGCCAAAAAGTGGTTGTTAAAGCAGGATTTATTGGGACAAATGAAAGTAGAAAAATAGGACTAGGTTAACAGCTTTATTAATACACACTATAAAAAGTGAATCTCATTTGACAGACATAAATGTTTATATCAAGATATCAAATCTGAATTCCAGAGGGAAAAGAGTGAAAGAGTTTGTGTAGAAATGAAAGTAAAAGTGAATGAAAAATCCCGGGAACTCATTGCAGTTGTTAAGCTTGGCTCGGGGGCTTGGGGACTCAAAAGGTGCAAGAATCTGATGGTCACTTCCACTACGGCTCCACCCCTGGACATCAAGGAGAAAAATTAAAAGTTTCTCTGCTTGTTTTTGCCTGTAAAAAAGAAGGAAAAAAACTGATTATGTGTGCAACAATTTTTATGGATCAAAAATTTGAAACATTTCACTTGTAAAAATGTTAAAAAACACCTTGATCTTTTTTTCTTTACTTTTTCTTGGCAAAAGCTACCTGTAAAGAATCAAAAAAAAATTATCCTAGTTTCTTTCCCTATATATGATGTTGTTCCAGCTGAAAAAAGTTCAAATTTTGACTCAGAAAAAAATTATTGAAAACTTTAAGAAATTTTTTCCAGTTAACTTTTTATAGGGAAAAATTGTGGAATTGTTAGCTTGTGTTCAGCATGCCATAGTGTCATGAATAAGACTCGGCCCGTTGATAAGCCACATTTTGGAACACACAGAGAAATCATACAGATCAATCTATGAAACTTGCCATTCCAGTCATGGTTGGCCAGCCAGGCAATAGCAACAGTGGCCAATGGCAGCGGCTGGGCATCCTGGCAAACCATGTGCCAGTTTTGAAACTGGGACAACCTTCAAGGGATTTCAAAAGTTAAAACTCACATGTGTTTCAAAACACTTTCCCCTCACAGCACCCTGATTGCAAGGGACAGGGAGGCAGCACTGCAGGAGTTCAGGAATAAACGGTGCCCGTTTTGATCGATTATACACCTAAAATCAATGTGCCAAAAAAGGGAAATTTTTTATACCTCTATTTGTGCTAAAGATATTCACTTATATAGTCAATACTCACTTATATGATCCATATCAGATTCGATGGCAAATTGGACTTGAACACGTAATGGCGGCCACAGGCATCCGCGCCAGGGTGTAATGTATAACATGGACAATTAATCAAAATTGTACAGTATACTACAATTGTTTTGTCACATATTAGGCCAATTTCAGCAAATAATGTCCCAAAATAGTAATTTCTGAATTCTGATATTTACAGGTGGGCACTGAAATTTACCTAATTGGGAAATTATAGGTTTAATTGCATATACCATATAATGGTCCCGGTTCCTTTCTATACATACTTGTCATTATTACTGATTGAATCAACAGTTTCTTTTCTGACTCCTCTCACTATCAACCCTGTGGTTTAAATTTGCTCCCTCCAATTCCTAATAGTGTAATATGACATGCAACATGCTATTCAAATTGAGTACTGCTGATTTCTGTATTTTTTGTGCCCCAAAAGGCTCAAAAATTCAATTTTGATTTTAGCAAAAAAAAAAAAATCCTGAGGAGTTCTTTTAGCTATGTAATACACTTGATCAAAATGCTACAGTATTGTACCTGTAGGTAACCCATGCTTATCCTCATAGATCCTTGCTCAACATTTCTCAGTATTTTTTGTATTCACAACCTTGCAATTCCTTGTCAATACCCCTTTCATACCATGTTATTATTGGTCTTATTTTCAATAAACTTAAATAAGGATTATGATACAAATTCAACACATATTGTATTATTACTGTGACTCAAAAATGATCATTATATGATTATCTGTATATGTTATCACTGCATGGATTCAAGTGATATGCGCTGAGCGGCCCCAGCCTGTGGTGTTCTGATTTTTCTTTTCTTGCACTTCTATTTTAGGAAATCGCGCCACACAAAATTTGAATGTCAATCAACGTAATGACCAAGCCACTGGCACTTTGGCAGGCAAGCCTCCGCCTCGTTTTTGTCTGCCGCCCTTGCATTTTCCCCGTTCTGAGGCATTCGCGCCACACAGAAGATGCGTGGGAACGGGATCACGATGTATGGCACCGCTTCTCGCTTGTCTTCCAATGACTGTCATCTGCTGGCGCCTAATGCTTAAAGGCCGGCTCAACAGCCCGTCCACAACCTCTCATTCTACTGCGCATCCACTGCAATGCCTACGATGACAACCAGCCCTCCGAGGCCACCTGCCCCACGAACAGCGAATGTGGCGCTCCCCCTTGTGACCCCTTCGCCCCCCGGAGCCCGTCAATTCTTCAGATCTCCGCCATCGTCGTGGGGTCAAGCCGCGCAGCATTGGACCAATCCGGCTGCATTCTACACCCCGAGTCCGAGCGAATATTACTCGCCTGTGTTCAGCGATATCCAGGCGCTGGCAAGCTTTCACCCTCTCCCGGAGCTCCGGATGCCTCAGCCATCACGAGTATTGCTGGACGTGACTGCCGCGCGTGAGTTACTACCCTGTGTTTCCTCGTTTCTCACCTTGAATGACGCGTCATAGACCTGCAAGCCTCTGTTGCAAGCCCGCCCCAATTCAGTCCTGCCCACGGACCCACTGAATGGGGTAGCCATCTTCCAATCCAGTCCCCTCCAGGCATTCTTCAGCCTCCACCCCGACGTCCACTACTCCCTCCGCCCCGAAATCAGCCCACTCCGCGCCCGCCATCGCCCGCGAGGGAACAGACACCTATCGCTATCCCTGGCTCGCCGCTCCCGCGCGCGCTGGACATGGAATACCGCAACTTGTTGGAGTACCAGCCAGATAGTCACATTACCGGCCGCCGGAGCCACCGGATCTACGACGATTCTGACAGCGAGGATGACGAATTAGAGCCTTTTTCTCCAACGGCGCTGCGCAGCCCGACGCCGGCCCCTCTTGCTGGTTTGTCATACCAACTTGGACGCTCTTCGCTTGGAGACAACCTCGCTGCTGATGAACGCCATGACCAGAGCGCGGCCCCTGGCCTCTTCAATGCAGGCGTTTGGCAAGGAAACTCCCTTGTTCCGCAGACTTCAAACGACAATGCAGTCCCCGGCCCGTCAACCCTACAAGCGTTTCACCCCCAAAATTCGCATCTCGCTGTGAACGGGCCATTAGCAGGTCCGTCACGCGAAGGCTTTTCGCCAGGCAACGCTTTTGTACATGGCGCTCCGTCAAACCAAGGCTTTTCGCAAGACGGCACCGGTCTTCGTCAACATTCTCACCATAACGCAACTCCGGGTCCGTCAAATCCGACTTTTTTTCCATATGTTCCTCTCTGGCAGGCGACCTCAACTGAAGCAGCCGGCCTCAGGCTGCCGTACCCACTCCCGATTGAGGACATACCTTTGTTGCTTGCGGACCCCGACAACCGTGCTCAGGAGACTTCTCAGAACAACGAGACCCAGTTTGGCTCATTTAACCCTGGTCTTTCTCAACAAAACTCCCTTGTTCGTCAGACTTCAAACCACAGCGCGCCAGACCCGTCCAACCCAAGCTTTTCGGAACAGAGCCCCTTTGTGCTTCAAATGTCCCAGCGTAATGCGACCCCTGGGCCGTCGAATCAAGGCTTTTCGCAAGACAACGCGCTTATTCGTCAGAATTCACATCGCAACGCGACTCCGGGTCCGTCAAACCTGAATGCTGGCAATTTTCAATATCACCCCGCTCTCCGATCTGCCAGTGCGTGGGGGTATGCGACTGCAGGGCCGTCAACTGGGGCACCGGGTATGTCGGCCAGAGCGAATGAGCCGCGGGTAATCCACTCCATTTTGAAGACGTCCCCTAATCACGTACCCCGGGCGCTGCGCAGTAAGTCTCCCTTCCTCATGGGCATTCTGAGATTTAATAAGTTTAAAAGGTGCCTCAGCTGCCCCGCCCCGTCCAGACAGCGGTGGTAGCGCCGTTCCGCCCCGAAAATGGTACACTGGTACTATCTTCGACGAGTTCTCCATCTTTGGAGGCAGGCCTGTGGAGATTCCCCTGCGCGACGAGCATATTGAGCTGGTGTGGCCGTTGCGACAGCAACAGGGGCGGCCCAACCGCCCAGGCTTCATCAGCCCATGCATAAAATACGACATCGCTCGTTCCCCGCGCGAATCATACGGTGTTCTCGACATTCGCGTGGCTGGCGGCCTGCCTACCGAACTCGCCTTCGACGACATTCGCATGCCTGTTTCGAGCCATATGGTCATGAACACCATGCTCATACTTGCGGAACACGCGCCCAACGGCGTTATCCAGCTTGAGCGGGCCGGGCCGGAGGGGCTGCGGGTGCTGGACGTCTTGGAGGGGATTTACCAGGCATATAACACGGAGCTACCGGACATCGACGAGATGACGGTGGAGGACCAGGCCACGTTGATCACGGCGATGCAGCAACGCACACAGGCACCGCCGGGCGGGCCGCTGTCGGACGAAGTGCGGGCGATGCGGCGCAGAGGAATCACCCATGTCGATTTGCTGGGAGTTGGCCGCGCGTTTGATGGGCTGTCGAGGAAGAGAAAGGGATGGCAGCTGCATTTCAAGGATCTGCAGTATAATCCGCGTTTGTAAGTCAACCGTGCCATTTTCTCTCTTCTCTTTGTCGTTTCCTTCCTACAACACTACTTATTTCAAGTTCGCCTACTTATATGTACCCATACAATTAGATGCCGGAATGTCGCGTTAAACCATGGTAATCACTCACCATATCTACCTACATTTTGTCTTCGTAAGTATTACGTTCATCGCCGTTCTGCCACTGGTGGCATATTATGTTTTCGTCCCATGCTCAACTTGCTCTGGTAATAGCATAGTATGTATAAATACGGTATGCTCTTAATAACGATGAAGTCAAGTCCTTCAGTGGTTTGGACCGGACCGGCGCTCCGAATGACATGTGAGCTTGTTGATTCTTTGATGCGACAAATCCGTATTACTCATTCGGGTCGTTTACTTACTTTACTCCCGACCGTCGTCGTCGTCGCATCGGAAACTTTTGAAGGACCGTCTATAATCTTACTGCTCCTACCATGGCATCCCCATTTCCCCTCCTGACGGTAGCGCCCTACCCACGGGCCGCTCACGACTACATATCTGGCTCACCAGACTGTCACTGAACGGGACGGGAGGCCAGCAGCTGCAGGTGTGTGGCTGATTCTGTCAGTATGAGTCCTTCAGACTGTCAGTTAGGTACCTCGCAAACGTACGATGGAGGACCCTGCAATGTGGTGCCCGGCTAATGACGAGAAAACCTCGGTGGATCGAGGGGTACAAGCCCATGTTTTCGGATGAATGTCGCCTCCGTGGGACGGTCGAGGCGACCTCTCTATTCAACCAGCCCCGGCTTTCTCCTGCATCTTCGCTAGGGCACGATCCTCGCTGCTCGCATCCGTCAGCCGTCAATCCCAATGTCGATGATACCCATTTTGGCGTGTGAGAATGGAGGGGCCTGCTCAGGAACGCATAAGCTCCCGAGCGAAGTTTGGCTCAGTCGCAGTCTTGGCATGGGCGACTGAATGGGCGGAATCAACAGGTGCGCAACGTCTATAAACCGACTATTTACCTTGCCTGACGTCGTGGTAGATTTCGGCAAAGGCCAGAGCTGCTTCGCCGCCGATGCAAAAGAGGATTATAAGCTCGACTGCTCGAGCTCTGGTTCCTGGAACCTCTATTCGCCATGGCCCCTTCTCGTTCCTCGCTCATCAAGCTTTTGCTGCTCGCCGTTGCTGTCCAGTGGTCGGTTAGTGCGGTGAATGCAGCCGCGTTAACGGTTAGTCTATGGTTTTGCCTCAATTCGAGTCATTTCGCTCATGCAATCTATCTATCTAGACAAGTAGCTCCTCGACTCCAGATGCTGGAACGACGACTTGTATCACATTCGACTTCCCTGGAGAAACAGATGCGGGCACGACTACTGATTCAAACGGAATTGCAGTAACTCCAGTCACCAGCACGGTGCGTCAGCGTCGTTTGGAAGGAAAAAACATTATTGATACTTTGTGGTTAAGACTCCTGGTGCTGGGACGACTACGGATTCTAATGGAATCACTGTCACTCCCAAGGCAAGTTGTCCGCCCACTATGACAATATGTTACTCATAGTAATGTGGCTTCAGAGCTCTTCCACCAAGTCCACCCACAGTACCAGTACCTCCACCGTCTCACACAAGCAGACTTTGACTATCACGGTATTTGAGCTTCATTATTTGTCTTATACTGTTCTTTGACTCTCTTCCAGAGCAGCTTCCCACCGCCGAGTTGCTGGACGACTGTCGTCTCCATCCCTAAACAACCTGTGCCCACCACTTGGGTGGCCTCGACTCGAAGCAGCAGTGCGACTGGTGCGGGAACGACTACCGATCCGGTCGATGTACCTGGAGGTGGACATGGTGGACACACGAGCTCAAGCACCTCCACTCCCGGAAGTTATACGACTCTTACTGTGTGCAGCGTGAGTAATCTTTCTTCTTCTGATTCAAGCTTATCCCTTTGGACAGTAATTTCATCGAACGAATGATTTTTTCTGGACAATGGACACTTTTACATAGCTACTCCAAGTATCTTTCGTCGACCCAATCCTTCCAATCTGGAATCGTGTTTGCCAAGTTATACTGCTGTGCCTCCGTCTCCGTCAACACCGTCGAGAAGTTGGGTCTGTTTGCGCCGACGACCCCATCCCCAAACGAGTTGGATTCCACGAAGAAGACGAAGTCCGTGCGTGCGTCGCCAGGGTTCCATATCGACCAGAGTGTTTTGTTCATCTGCGGGGGAGCTTATTGAGCAGCTTCATTGATGGAAACGGGACAGACCGCTGCTGCAATGTCCGTGTTTTTGAAGACGACGCTGAGGCATATGGTTGAGCCGAAGGCAAAATATCGTTATCGTCAAGACCTACCGAGCCCATGCTGTGGAAATTTGAGATTATGGGAGATATATGCAAGGCTGGACGAACCCCCCCCAAGGACGCCCTAAGAAGACGTTGTCGGTCACATTCGGAAACGCGTCGGGGGCCGCGATTATCTTGTTCTCGTCGAAGACATCTGTGGGGGAGGCTTGAGCTGTGTGGTTGCTTGTGCAAAAGGAGGGAGGCGGACAGATGCCGGTGTCGTTGAGTTGCCGCCCGTGGGCGGTGATGCAGCCTGCGCCTTGGCTGGCGATGGTGTTTCCTTGGAAGTAGGCAATGGAACGCCGACCGAAGATATAGTCGACGGCGCCCTGTGAGGGTAAGAGTTTGGAGACACAGACGGGAAGATATTGCGCACTTCGATGTAGGATTTGAGGAAGACATGACTGCCAACGTTGGTGTAGAGAGTGTCCTATCGAATGTGGGTTCTCCATCGGTGTTTCAGTTGCATAAACTGAAACGCACCTGGTAGGAGAACAGCCGACACGCATATACACCCAGTCGATCTGCTTGGGCACTCAGCGCAATGGCCTGGCCATTTGTGAGCGCTACGCCGAAGTTGTTTCGGATGTCGAGGTTGTACAGCGAGACGTTGGCGGAAAGGACACGCAGCGTCCCAGTAAGGTCGTCGCTTCCTGCACCGGTCGCAAGTGATGCATTGTGGATGAGGGTCACGGTGTTTTGGGTGAAGTCGAACGCGTTTTCGGTGTAGCCAACAAGCTGCAGGTAAAGTCTTCAATTATATCAAGCGCTGAGGAACATTGAAATAAACGCACCTTGACAGGTCCGGGCCGCGATATATTGACCTGCTCAACGTATACTCCGGGGAAGATGAAGACTTCTTGCGGCGTTTTGTCGGCGGGGAGGGAATTGACCGCTGCCCCAACGGAGGAGAATTCGCGTGGACCAGAGCTCGTCGACTTGGGATTGACGATCACGGCGCCAGGAGGAGGCTGGGTACATTCCTGAGATAATACACCGCGACCCAGGAGGAGGATCAGCTGCAGAGCAAGACAAAATCGGAGCCTCTTGAAGGCGAAAGACATTAGCCTCCACGCAAGTACTCGTGCCGCCCGCTAGCTCCATATTTAAAAGACCAGCCTTGCTGGCCGTCCCTGGCTGCAAACGCGGTGACTGAGCAGCTGACGAGAGGCGGGCCGGCGGGCGGGGTCTTGTCCCCAAATAGCGAGGAAAGTCCGGCATCGAAGTTTTGGCTCTTTTCCGCCACAAGGTTCGATTCAACCGCCTTTGCACTCTCCCTACCTCTGCACTAGTCCGTGCTGGCGCGGAAAAGGCCCCATCCACACACAGGCTCGGGAACGCCCAGTGGTTGTCGGAGACGTCGGGCTCGGAAGCCGGCGCGCGTGAGTAGTAGGGCCGCCGAAACAGGAGTATTCTTCCCGATACAAAGGGCTCACGCTGACCAAACTACCGTCCTTCACATGATCGGCAACTGCAGCCTCATCTGCCATCTTCAGATCTTGCATCATGGCGACGAAGCAAGTACGTGGAAAAAAAGATTCTTTGCTCCGATATCCGATGGGCAGGCTATCGCTCGCAATCTGTCTTGTGACCGGACGAGCTCGAGTCTCCATATATACTTGACGTGCAGTCCCAACTCTCTAGGCTCTCCTTCCCTCGGCGACCCTGAGCCCAAACTGGCTGGGCCTGGGATACAGGCTCGAGCGCAAGGTGTGTGGATCGTACCGTTGGCTGAGGTTAACGGCCTCATGCATCAAAGTAGACGCTCGGGGCCCCGGGATGTGTCCACCTCAGCGAGTTGCCGCTCTTCCGGTTGTGCCAGAATGAGTGCGTAGTTCCAGTATCGACTCATCGATGCCATATTCTTATTTCCTTTTCTTTCCCAGTTTCTCCCATTTTGCAAATTATGCGTATTGGCTTCGTCTCTTCGACAATTGCCTCACTTGGAATCTGCCGACTTGGCACCCGTTCTTATAGGTCCCCTTATACAACGTCCTCACCAGTCTCTGTCGAGCATGGAAGTCGAACCGAACCGCGCCTGGTCATTTAATCCATCAGATGTGTAAGTGTTTTGCTCTATTTCGCTCCTTACAGGCCGAACTCTGAACTTTTTTTTTACCAGTGGCACCATTGAGAAGCAAGTTGTGAAGAAAGTTGTATAAGGTGGATTGATGGAACTGGGTATCAAGTTATTAGATTCATCCTTTTGAGAGAGAAGAGGGGTATTTGTTTCCATATCTTATGTCATGAGCCTGTATATGTCTGACAACAGGGGGGAATGAGCTTTGCTAGATCTGATCAGGTATACTCAGACTGGATCATTTCTTTCAATTCTACTAGATAGGGCTGGGGCTACACCCCAGCTTTGAACATTACCTCAAGTTGAATAAAGTGAATTTTTAATTACAAAAAGAAATCTCACTGATAATTACAGAATAGCACACAGGTGCCCAAGGACCTTCTTAAATATCTGGTCTACTATTGTCTACATAAATTATAACTGAAGTTAGTAAACTTTCTCAACCTATTTATTGATTTGTAAGCAAATTCAAATTAATTAAAGTAAGAAATACTTAGTACAAATTTAGGTGTTAGCATAGTAAATAGCTCTAGATATAATATTTTTATGGTACTTGGTGCAAGATATCATGTACAGCTTTATATCCCAATGAGGATTGGTCACATTTTACAGCTTTTAATACCAATTAAATTGAGTTTGCTGCCTTTGTTTGTCCCCAACTGTATAGCGGCAGTTGCAACACGTCCTCAACCAAATCAAAGAGAAGTGGGACCCCTATAAAGAGGTGGTGAAGGGGCCAGATAACGACTGTCAACAGCCGCGAGAGGGTGGACTGTTTGTCCCGCTGCCATCAGTGGGAAACAAGACTCAAGGCTTCTGAGTAATGTGACAAAAGCGCTGACACGGCCAGTGGAGTACATTCCGCGACAGAGAAGACGGCATGGCGCCCAGCACGCCAAAGGGGAGACAATGGTGCACATATCAGCAAAGGTACGGCACCCATCCAGACATGCTGTCACATGCAGCCGCGGCCCGCGGGAGGGGGGGGTCTTCTTCCAGGAAGGCAACAAGAGGAACTGTGCAGTGTGAATCCCCCAACATATACACCAGGCCAAGATGGCAGCAGAAGCGACGGCACTCATTATAGCGCTCAGACTGGTCCCCAGAGGGCCCCCCCTGATGATCTGTGCTGATTCAGACAAATTGGCAAGGTGTAGGAACAAGAAACTGACCACATAGGAGAACTGCGGCTGGATAGGAGTTAAGGACTGTAAAGTCCTGAAATGCCTGGCTGCTGAGACACGATCTCAAACTGCCATAACCGTCTTCAAGACGGACGACAAAACGGCGGCTGGTAGAATGGCCAGAAACCTGGCAGACGCTGGAAGTCAGCTCTTGGCACAGACGAATGTGGACCTCAGAGTCCCCGAAGGTTTCCATGCACATAGACTCCGACTGAGCAATGTGAGAACAGAGAGACATATATAGGGCCATCATGGAATGCCGTGCGACCCCAGCGGAAGAGCACAACAAGGCAGATCAAGACAGAGTGACGTATGGTAGATCCGTGACAGAGGCCGAAATATGGCTGACAGCCCAGAACAAGGATTTCTCCAGACAGTTCAGGAACTTTATGTGGGGTGGAATCCACGATTCCTACTATGTTGACAACTAACACAGAAGTTTCCCGCATGGGGAAGAAATCAGTAAATGTGTAAAATGCGGGGTGACTGAGAACCTAGAGCACATACTGACAAAGTGTGGCTGCCTCATCTAGAGAGAGGTACTGTAGCATTTTATTCAGTTCGTATGTCACACGTCACACTGCCTATAAAATTCGATTTTTTTTTTTGCATGTCATACCATTTTGCGCAAAATTCTTGTCCGAAAGAGGCAATTTCTAACATTTCCGGGTGCCTCCGCCGCCAAGAGCTTCCTAATTAGGAAATAATTCGAATTCATATTTTCGTATCAGATGTCACACGGCTTTGGGCATTCGAATTGAATAAAATGCTACAGTATGGACCCTGGTCAAAGAGACTTGGCAGAGACAAGGGGAAGATTGGCCAATGGTGTCACTGGGCACTGTCCTTGGATGCGGCTTTGCCTCTTTCTGGGATGTAGATGGCCACAACTTCAGAGCGAGACAATGCCTATACCGCATCATTATGTCTGAAGCTGCATACCTTATCTGGAAACTACTCAACAAGAGGGTACTCCAGGATGCCAGGGAGGAACACTCCCATATGGAAATTAAAAATAGATGGTACAGCACTATAAACGGCAGACCCTGGCAAGAAGACCTGGAGGGAGTAAGCTACCTATACTAGAGCCTAGTAAGAGACACATGGTCCGATGTAATAACAGCACAGGGCAGAAAAGACTGGCTAAAGTTGCCTAGGGTTTTAGTGGGTTCTGCACAAGGCCGACTAGCAGATGGCAGCAGTGGATCCCCAGGGCCCACACTGCCGCGAAAGCAGCGAGTACTAATATATTTCCCTGGATGGTGACCCCCTCTCTCCCCATAGGATGGTCTGTTTTATTCACCTTCTACACTTTACATGAATCTAGTAGGATAACTTTGTTAACTGTACACTTGGGGACAAACAAAGGCAGTAAACTCAATTTTAGGCACAAGGAGTATATAGAGAGCTTAGCTGACTTCAGATTCAGATTCAGGGACCCAAAAAAACCCTATATACATAGCTTACATAATATTCTAACATACCATTGTGTTTGGCCAAAATTTTGGACCTGTTGAACACAATTAAGTGTACCTCCGTCTCTACCTGGCAACATCAAGTGGACCCAGCCTGGGTTGGTGCCTAATCTAAGACTGCTGTTGCACTTTGGGAGACACCTCTGTGCTGTTTCTGCTTTCTCACAGCCCTCCAACATGTGGCAGCCTCATGTTTTCTAGCAGGTACTCACGATATGTCAAGAAGTGTTACTTATGTGACCTGGATATTGATGACCCCATTGTGGGCTGGTGTGACATTGAATTTCCTCAATTCTTGTTCTCCATCTCTAAAATGGATACGATACACCACTACCTGAGTTTACAAGTCAGCCAGCTTATGATGTTTAAGCACCAGATATTCTCTTTGATATGGCTAAAGAGTCAACATATTTAATGATTATATTATATCAAATACCAGTGTCAATCCATAGTACTGTCCTATTTTGATCAAGTGTCTGTGACTTTTTCAGAATTTAAGACTAAGTTTTTCTTTTGATTTATGGTGATTTTTAACAAGGAGCTTTTTTGGCGATGTAACGTGTAATACGGACACTTGATCAAAATGGTACAGTACTCTTGGAACCCTACCTGCTACTACATGATCAATCCTTTTTAGCTTAACTAGCGAAGGAGATAGAGGCCTATTAGTTGTATATCAAGTAGTAATTGGCCCATGCTGAGGCAATTATTCAGCTGGCACTCTAGGTTACTTAATTATGGCGGTCAAAGTGGGGAAGTATCAAATTTCCACACACTTTGTAAAAATTTGAGTTTTCCGCAACATTTTGAACAAAAAACTATTTTCCATAGCTTTATATCCCAAAATTGAGAAAAAGTTGCAGATTACAGCCATTTGTCGAAATTCGTCACATATCTCAGACTTGAAATTTGTCACATATCTCAGACTTGACGACTTTCCCACAACATTTCTTTCCCGCAACACTTTCGCGACTTTATCTCAACTTGGCTGGTGCTGTCAAATGTCTAGTCAGCCTCGAGCTGCTGGTGACAAGTGGTGGTTTCGTGCCGTAGTGCCAACTGCTGGCTAGAGCCATGTCAGACGATAACCACAACATTAATTGGCAAACAGCACTCGCTTGCTGTGGCTAGGTTAACCTTGTTCCACGCAGACACGGACCCAGGCAGCGGTGTCGGGTTTGGCCACCTCGGTTGTGAGTGGGCCCCAGGGTTAGCCAGGGCATACATCCGATACACGGGGTCGGTGGGGTGGGCTGTGAATGTGCCTGGGGTAGTGGTGCTAGTGGCCCACGGGACAACAACTTGACGGCAAACCCTCCCGCAGCGGAAGCAGGTTGCAAATGTCCAGGCCCTGGACTGCGCCAAATTGGGACGACGTTGACAATACTGCGCATGACAGCGGAAGATAGTCGGAATGACTGGTATTGAAGATAATGTTGCGGATTGTTAATGTTGCGGAACAAAACAGTTGCGGAAATTATGCACTCAGAACTCTGAAAATATTTCGCGGATTTTGGGAACGGCTGTGATCCGCAACTTTTTGTCAAGTTTAGAAAATAAAGTTGCGGAAAATAGTTTTTTGCTCAAAATGTTGTGGAGCACTCGAATTTTTATAAAGTGTGTGCAAAATTAATACTTTCCCAGTTTGACCACCATAACTTAATGAACCCGGTCCATATACACAGGCAAATTTTAAAACTTTCTTTTCTTATTGAAAGATGAATTTATCACACACTTGCCAAAATAGGCAAGTGTCACGCATGTCACGGTCCGTCGGTCCCTTGAGGAGGGCTTAATTTCTTTGGTGTGTTACATGTTCCTATAATTTTTTCTCCTTCCCCTTGGCTTGTATCAAACCCACAGTCTCTCGACTCGGCAGGCGGCTGTTGGATCTCTATAACATTGAGGAAATTGATTATTGTAGTACTTACTTTTTAATATGTGAAATAAGTATATACCTTTTTTTTTTTTTTTTGATTCCCGTTATTTGGCCTCTACAAATGTATGTACGGTAGCCATCAGTGATGGCTACAACCAAATACAATACAATACTCAATATATTGGGTTATAACCCAATACAATCCATATATATATCCAGGGTGACAAAAATTTTGTAGTATGGAGTATATACTATATACTATTGAGTTTTCTCAGAGGCCTATATAGGCAGTATCTCTGGGTTATGCAAGGTGGTATGAAGTCAAATTCTCTCAGATGAGGTATTTTCTGAGTCTTTGTTACTATACTTTCTAGGACTACTGTAGCGTTCTGTCAGAGTGAAACACTTGGAGGACCGTTACAGGCCTGAAACACTGAAACAGCCAGGATTATGCGCGGAAATTCCCTTTTTGGGAGTGGCTGTGGGCGGAAATTGCCTTATTTGGATAGGTTTAGCGCCGAAACAGAGCGCCCGTTACGCGTTACGTTTCACTCTGACAGAATGCTACAGTATATCTCATATCTGACTAAAAGTTTGGATGCTGCTTTAACCACAGCTTCAAATGAATCACAAACTGACCCATCTAAAGACCCTCATTGTCATATTAAATCTTCAGTTATATCACTGTCAATAGAAATTTATAGTACAGCCAAAAGTACAACATCTCATATCAATTATAAGTCTAGTTTAAATTTCAAAATTTCCATATATAGAAATTTGATGACAATAAAAAAGACTGTAAGTATTATGACAAGAAAAGGGTTTTATAATTAATCTATTAGCAAGACATTCATCTTATTACCTAGTTTTCTCTTGATCTTATCTGTGTATTCACTGTTTAACTATTATATTTGACTATTCAAAGCCTTACTTAGTTAACCTCAATATCATCTTTTTGCAGATCTCAGACTCTCAGAACCTATAACTAAGATGTTATTATTGTCCACAGAACTATACTCGATGGTTAATAACTATCAGGATTATAATATATAAAATAATATTCTAAAACAATATATTATCTACTATATCCTCAATATATTGGGTTATAACTCAATACTATCCATATCCCAATACAATACAGCCTTGGAGTGTATATGGATAGTAATTAGTTGGAGCCTTAGCCATCACCTTGTGCTGCCCGAATCCAACGTTTTCTCGTCCCGTTTCTGTTTTGCCTCGGTATCTTGCCCTTTCAGCCACTGTGCTCGGGGCGGCGGCGGCGTGAAGGTGGGTGAGTGAAATGAAATAGTGTCCTGTAGTCATTATATGTTGTTATTGTGTGGGTGCACGCCGTTCTTCGCGCCTTATGTACCTTGAAATTGGATTTCATTCCACATCTTCACTGGCGGCAGCGGGACAGTGAGATGAACTCAGCATCTACTCAGATTGAGTAGACATTTGCACCGCCGGCAAATCGGAGTCTATACTAGTACACTTAAATATATCCCTCAACAGCTTTCAGAGCTTCGATAGTGTTCCATCAGCCTCGCCGTTGACATGTGGTTGCCAGTGTGCCAGTGGCCGCGTAATGCTTTCCCATGGGATACTAGTCAGTGGTTTAAAGCCAAGTGCGTGGACTCCCCACTGTTGGCACAGCACCCCACGCCACCCACTTGCACAAACCACCGTCCATAATCTACACACTGCGACAGTGGCTTTGGTGAAGAACATGTCTTCAAGTTCCGAGCCTTCCTATGAGTCCTGGGGGTTTACCACAAGCTCCCCAGGTTCTCGTGGCGACTGTGACTTCGAGTCAGAGTCATTGTTGCCAAGACACCCGGGCCGGCCGATATATGGCTCCGCCACTGGCCTCTCCCACTGGCTTCAAGTTACTGCCGACCCAGTAGCAATGCCAATCCCAGGAATAATTTCTTGGACAACCCACGACTCTAGATTTGAGCTGGAGAAAGAGTCCATATTCTCAGAGTCAGGCTACTTGCAAGCTACGACCAATACGAGGAGTAGTGATATGCCAGTGACCGGTATGCCGCTCTACTCATAGTGAACGAGATCACTACTTGCTGACATGTAGCCAACAGCATCCGCCCAGTTCCCAAATGTCAGCGTCGGCGGCGGCGACAACCTTCAAGTTGCTGAATATGAGAGGAATATAAGTTACCTCTCATTTAGTGAAGCAACTGATAAGTTGCAAGTTGCAGATACTAGTAGGTCCATCAATCCACCTTATATCAATGGTGTCTTTACGACGCTACATCCGGCCAACTCCGACAACTACTTCAGCAATGATATTGCTGCTAGTCATCCCACTAGCAGTGAGCCCAAGAGCAAGTTTGATTTTGATGATTGCTCATGTCCATTTGCTGGCGACTCGGATAATAGTGCAGCACTGTGCACTGGCACTGCCAACTTGAATGATATCAGTGCTGCAGGTTTACATCCTCCAGCGCTAGCACCATTCACTGGCCCGGGCCCTCGCCTCGACTTCTCCCCTTTTCAATTTGTCAATTTCGAACCCCCGATCCACCCTGCCAGTGCTTTCCCACAATCTATCTCTACCCGCCGGTCCCGCCCTTGTCCTACAGGGTTCAAATTTGGCTTTAACACGAAGTCGCTGGTGCCAATCGATGCGCCAATTCAGAAAAAGAGGCAGCATACTTCAAAAACGACATCCACTGGCCAGAGGGAATTAGTAGAAGACGAGGAACCCCACCAAGAAGAGAAGACGGAACAGGAGATTATGGCTGAGATCAAGAGGCTAAAAAATACGTTGTCAGCAAGAAGAACTCGAAAACGGAAGGTGGCACACCTTAACCGCCTCCAAGATGAGCTGCAGATCCTGCAAGGCGAGGTGCGAACGCTCAATAGCATGAACAGGAAACTCAAGGAGCAATTGAGTCGAGCTAATCGCATGCAAAGCCCGTAATTGCTATCGGCACGGGCTTCAATTTTCCCTCTTTATGTGACCTCATCACCACGACTGCTTCCTTGTAATACCGCTCGCGAGTATGACTGAACGCATCTTAGTTTACGTTTTTCATTTTCATTTCCCATCTTACTATATAGTGTCTTGACTCATTGCCTCAATAAATCACAACTATATCCAGAATTTCTGCAGTTGAGCATGAGCGAGTGGGTGTCAAGGCAAAAGAGTTACTAACCTCGCCCTTGCCCGTCTTCTTTCGCTCCTCCAACAGCATCTCTGCCTCATGCCTCCAGTCCGTCTCGAGAATCCTCCCTAGCCGCTCTACTACGGCCCCCATCGTCATTGTCGGGAGTACGAAGCTAGATGATAGTAAGCGACAGGCCTCAAACGCAAGAGGGTTTACCTTGAGATTGGATTCCGCACAGCTTCGTCGACAGCCCTGACAAATCCCTCCGTGTCGCCCTTGAAAATGTTGTACACATATGGCGCCTCGAAGTGCTTCAATGTATTGTGTTGCGAGTTCCATCGCGCCTTGTCGCCTGGATTCACCGTATCCCACTGACAATGACAGATAAGTGAACGGTACAATAAAAAAGGACATGGACATACAGATAGGATGGGGTTGATGAACGGGACACCGAGACAGAGTGCGTCGTATGGCGTGGGTGAGCTTGAATAATGGGTAAGCAGGATGAATTTCCACCGAACGGTAGACCCACATCGCTGGATGACCAACGCCAATCAGGACTTTCGAGTGGGCTAATGCCTCATAAAATTTGGGCTGCGGCAGTAATCCACCATTCGTCACGTATGCCGGCCAGTAGTTGGGAAGAATTTCCTCGTGAACGCCGGCGAGGAACTGAAAGGTGGTATTAGTCGATTGTTCGACAGAAATAGCGGCTCTCGCAAAAGCATCCGTGGCCCAGGAGCTTTCTTCGGGTTCGAAGTACTTCGCGTTCTTCGCTAATACATATCCTTGGTGTCTGCGGTCTTCAGAAGCCACGAATGTGTGGCGACTGCATTGAGGCTCGATACTATAGCCCAGGTATGTGTTGTTGTCCGGCTCCGGCCGATACTATCGCGAAATGAGCCCGTCTTCCCAAAAGAAAACAGCAAACAGAAATGGACTGACAGGTTCCGGATTGAGGGTCCATTTCCTCCCCAGCGGATGCTCAGCCTAGAAGAGATGTCAGCCACAAGGACAATCTGGGTATTGACGGACACACTGAATCCCAGAAATGGAAAGAAAGCATTTTCCATATCGGCACCCCGTGAGGATGGTTTTCGCGACGAACGCAATTGTCGTCCTTGAAGCACTTGTGGGAATTGGAGCCGTCGACAATTACGATGGGGACCATGTTCCCGAATATCTGGTAGAGACTGACGGTCTGGGATAGGCCCGTTGTGTAGAGATAGCTGTAGCCCAAACTACGCAGAGCGATAAGCTGCAGTTGCGTTATATGCAAAACCAAGAAACTGGGCTCGACACACCGTGGAATTAGCCCATATCGCTTCTCCACCATTGTCTCCCCGTAATGCGCCGCGGAATGGTCCAGAGGAGAGTATAACGACTGCGCAGATATGAGTAACAGTAACCGACGCGAAAAAGTAGAAGCACACACTTTTTGTCTGATTCCGCCCACAGTTACCCTGCTCTACACACTCGAAAAGTCTCCTCAGCATCCTCTCGTTCTCCGCAAACAGAGTATGGTCGTCCGCATCCACCTTGCTGGGAAATAGGATGCGCGAAAGCGCCGCCACGTTAATCGTCTCTGCAACATCTGACTCCCCATCTAACCAGACGATATCTTGAGGGTATTGCGAGAAGTTGGTGGTATAGACCGATAGCTGTGGGGATAGTCGCCCTGCCCAACGCGTGATTGTCGTTTCTTGGAGAAACAACAACGCCAGAAGGCCAATGGTGCAGGCAAGCAGGACAGTCGTGCGGAGGTGGGGATTGAGACAGTGCCCAAGCAAGTTAGGAGGCGCGGTGAGTCTCCGAATGCGCTCAATGATGAATGGCGCACTTGTCGAAGGAGGAGCCCATTGGGGAAGGGCCACTCTGGCGGTGGGAGCGAAGAAGGCTTCCCGCCGACTTAAAAAGCCAGCCGTCAGCCTACGGCACCACTAGAAGTTGTCCTTGGTCCATCAGATGAAGCAATGGTGCATATTGTGTCTGGAGCCATTGTAGTGGACGAGGCGAAAATCGATGTCGTGGAGGGGAGTAACGACAGTAAAAAGCATTATGTCATTTCTGATCTCTACCTCGTTTCTGTGGTTTCTACCTTGTCCTCACCCTCAGTCCCCATAGTCCGAGTAGTACTGGTACCCAATGAGCTTTCCAACGCTCCCAAGTCCAGAGTTGTCTCCGTTTCCCTTGTCTCCCCGCCACTAGTGCTGGAGGCGAACCTGAGGGTAGTCTTATCTGTTCTCCGGCCCTGATGCTGCATCTCGGCGTCTTGCTGGTTTTCCTTTTTCGCTAGCGCGACGCGGGCCGTTATGAGCGCATTTGCGATACCGATTGCAGCGGGCACGCTGTTGATAAAGCCGAACTGGATTTTGAGATTTCGCAGGTGAAGGATGGCGTAGAGTAAAAAGTAGGCACTGAAATGCAGATTAGAAGGTAATTCATTAAATACGAGGACGCGTACGTGAACCCGGCCGCGCTCTCTACGAAGATGGCGACAACGCGCTGTGTCAGAGAGTTGGTATGGCACCAAGTAGCGACAGTTGGCAGCACTGACCGTTAATTTCAAGTGACCCGCAGGGCGGACGACCCGGACACTCTTGGCTGCTGAAGTGACGCGCCAAACACCGTACCAGATGAATACTAGAAGCACCGCAGTGAATCGTAGCACGCAAACCGAGCAGAAAACCTACTTGTACAGTAGATATTCGTCCTATCAGAAGAGAAATAACGGCGTTAAGTACTTGCAGCATGGAAATAGAGAGACTCAACGCCAGGGTAAACGCGACGGATGCTGTGATAGTGTTCTCCACTATGTCTAATGACCCGAGAGCGGTATCCACGACGGATATCGTTTCAGTGACTGCGGCGTGGATTATCAGGACGATATTGAGGAGTCAAGCGTCTGTGGCTTACCGACAAGACCAACGAAACATAGAAACGGTGGTATGATGACTGTCCATCTCCTCCAGATCGCCCAAAGACGATACAACTGAGATTTAAAAGTCAGCACTACTCGTTCTGAACATGCGGTAGGACGATGACCCACAATCATCCCATCTCCGATGGCTAAAGAAAGCTCAATGAAAGTATTCTGAATTGTCTCCGAAGGTTGCGTCAGAGAGCTGAAGAACTCCGTCGAAGCGTGGCCACCTCGGTAGAACACGAACCCCTCAAACGTCCGTTGTACTGTGAGTATCCAGACCTATCAGAGCAGAACTTGCAGTCAGCACGGTCATGGCTGATAGATCTAAAGAAAGAACCGCACAATGCTTATCGCCACAAATAAACACCAGCTTGCGGCGAAGATCGGGGCTTTGAACGCTGTCCATATCGCAGAGCTCCTCCGCGATTGCCTTGTTTGCCGTGCCGCAAACAGATATGTGGACAGCAGGAACAGAACGAAATAGATTCCGTAGAGCAGCGTCCCCAGCGTCAGACTCCACAGGTCGTCAAACTCGAATGAAACATCATTGGCGAATTGGTTGGATGCTTCGCCAGGGGTAGTCGCGTTGGAGGCCATGTAGAAAAGAGAGGAAATGGCAGGAAAGGTGGGAGGGAAAAGAATGGGATCGGCGGTAGACGACCTCCGGGATGACGGTCGCGGGCTATATATAAAGATTGGCGTCGTGTTGGTAGAAGACACAGCTTGCAACAGCTTCGCTGTCGCCGGTATCGGGGGCCCGGAAACTCCCCAAGTAATCGTATGCAGACGTCAAGCCAGTCGAAAAAGCTTAGGCACCATCTTGCCTTGGTGAAACGACAGATTATAGCTGAAGTATAGTGATTCGTCGTCAAGGAAAGCGCAAAACGCTACCTTATGCTCCATGGCTTATCCATGGGAACCTAATCATCCTTGCCAGATAGCGGCAGAACCATTTTTGAAACGAGGCGGGCATGCCTCCACTTAGATTGACGCCCGTCTTGTTCTTGACTGCCACGAGTAGGAATTCGGCGGTCTTCAGGAGAGCATGACATGCAAGGGAGGGTATGAGTATTGGAGGAAACCTATTTGACTGCTCATTCTCCAAAATTGCCGGACAGGAGGAAAAGAGCTGTGACACGTGTGACTGCACGTCACACTCAGGCTTCAAACGGTTTATTGTGACATTGTCAGCATCTACAGCTAGGCCCCGACCATGTACAAGATACGAAGCTCCAAGACACTCCATCGACCCGACACATGGCTTTTCTCTCCTCCATGTCAATTTCTACGGGACCACTGATAGCAAGCCTCGACAAAACGCCGCCTGCGGCTGACGTCCAGAATCCGGAATACACAACGAACGCGAAAATGTTCAAGAAAGAGAGAGCTTGGAGTATAGCGGTGGGCGCCGACCTTGTATTCGTGTCTCTTCAGGTTGAATGGGCCGCGGGTGCCGAGTAATGCGACGGGACCTAGTACCTTGCAGTGGTGCGCAAACCTCTTACCCTTCTATTGATCATGGCCTTTCTGACTGCTTCACAGGAACTTCGATCAGCGAAAACAAATCCTTCGCTGTAACCTATGGGCAAAGACAGGGCCACTATTACAGCTTTTTCGCTGCTGTAGTACTCCACGACTCGAGTGACACTGTCTCTACCACCAATAATATCGCACTATCCCGCGCAAGTCGAGTTTGCAAGGAGTAGCTCGCAGGCAGAAAGACGCTAAGCTATAGGCCACCCAGGAGTCTGGCCAGCGCGGTCACATGACGGCGGAGGTGGAGCTCTGACGCAGTCGTGATATCATGGACGATCCCCCCACCCGTCATTAGCGGCTCATCCACAAGCTTTTCGTCACACTTAACTGGACCAACGACAAATATTTCTTCTTCCTTCCCCCCATATTCTCGACCCAGCCATGCAGTCAACAACCAGAATAACCTCGCAGCCAGTCCTCCGCGCCAGCGGTCTGAGGCTGGGGCCTGCCAAACAACGAGTCACTGCCGCTTGGCTGACAACCGCGCGGTTAAGCAGGTCCGTTCATTATTAACCGTCCTCTGGATTGACTCTGACGATACTGGCCAGCACTGTACATGGTAACGACGCCGAGGTAGGACTTACTCGTCAGCGCGTTGCTTGCTTACGCCGGTACAAGACGCTAGAGACGGAGAAATCCCGAAACCTGAAGAACATCCAACACAAGACCTCCACCCCCCACAAACACGCGCCGGGCTGGAACGAATATCTTGCTACATCTTCGGAAGCCTCTGTCAAGGTCATTTTTACTGCCCCGTATGTCCGTCTCCTAATCTCTTCTTGATAGGCAGACAAAGCCACCGGCGCCACGCTTTCCGAGCTGCAGCAGTCCACCGTGCAGCACATTTCTACCCGGCATCCTCATACTGCGAAGACGACGGACAAGTACGAGGCCTCGTTTTCTAAAGAAAACGTCAGCGGACCGCTGAAGAGCGCTGGCCCCGGCGAAAAGGACACAGATGGGCTCGTCAAGCGCACCGTTAGCGAGCAGAAGAGCGGCAAATGGAAGGACGAGAGTGAGAAGATGACTGGCAGCGAAGAAAGCGTGCGTTCTCCAATCTCAATGGGACAGCCATTCTGACTGGCAGTCTTCGGTTGCAGGTCAAAGCGGAACGTGAGACTTTTGCTTAGATACGGGAATCTGCAGCTGAAGCAAGCACTGAAATCCAAATGTATTACTTATTGGCCCCATTCCAACCATTGTACTAGTAGCATCACAATCATAGAAACCATTCGACGGTCTGCAAACTTGCGTCATCAGGCTGACTAACGTCGACGGATCACCGACTTGCTCGTGATTCGAATCTTGAGCTGTGCAGCGCATCCCCGACTCTTCTTCGGCAAGGTCGATGACAACCAGCGCGCCCGCGGCCGCTAGTTACGGCTTATCAAGCTGGCTTTCCAATGGCGGCATATAAAACAACGGCCACCTCCAGCGAGTTCCATCGCGCCGACTTCAAGCAATGGCCCAAGCAAACATCCTCTTTACGTCGCTTCGACTGGGCAGCACTACTATTCCCAACAGAATTGGTGAGGAAGCTCCTGGTGACCCACGGCGCTCCCGGCTGACCACCGTATAGGAATGAGCGCAATGACGCGCAATCGGGCAGCGAAGGGGTCGATACCGACTGAGCTTATGCAGGAGTACTACGTGCAGCGTGCTACGAGCGGGGTTGGATTCATCGTTTCGGAGCAGGTGGCTATCTCCTCTCAAGGGTATGTGGCCGCAGTCGATGGGTTTTCCATATTGATCCAAATACTAGCTCCCAATGGGAAGACCTTCCTGGAATGTGGACCGACGAGCAAGTGGCGGGTTGGAAGAAGATTACAGATGCTGTCCAGGTAGCAAAATATATGCCCAGCTTGGTCACTGTACGTGCTTCGTTCGTCTACTAAGCTAGAGCTGACCCGAGTGCAGCTGGCCGGACATCGCATCCCGATGCAGCACTCCAAAAGGCGTCTGGGGAGGTGCGTCTTCTGACATTTTGCTCAACTGTTGACCGATGAATGGCGTCTAGCCCGTCTATGGCCCTTCTGCCATCGCCGCTCGTGGTGGAAAGTTCCGCTTTCTTCCTGGCGAGCCTGGATACGTTGTCGTATGTCGCCTCCTTTTCCTTGTTCATTCTCTCAAGACTTTAGCCAACGCCCATACCAAATCCACGGACTATCATCGCGCAGTACAAGCATGCTGCCCTGAACGCGAAACGGGCTGGCTTTGACGGTGTCGAATGTCTGTTTTTTTAAAATTCCATTGTACTCCCGTCTCATCGTCATCCTAGTGCATGCTGCCTCGGGCTTACTCATCTCCCAATTCCTCGACTCAAAGGCCAATCAAAGGACCGACGAGTGGGGCGGTTCTCCGGTCAACCGGGTCCGTTTCGCGCTCGAAACTCTTGACGCCTTACGGGAGGTGTGGGGGAAAGATGTCAGCCTGAAGATCTCGCCAGGTATGTGGGGTTTTGTTGTTGCCCTCCACAGAGCCCCTCATCCTACGGCTAGCGAATGGCACAAACGATGTCGGCATGCCGCTGGAGGAAACAATTGCGACATTTGGGTATCTGTTGAAGGAGGTCGACACACGCGGGCTTGCGTATGTCTCGATTGTGCGCTACAACGCTCAGAAGGACGCGGTATACGATGGTATGCGGCCTTTTGTTCTCGGCTTCTCTTGTCTGAAAAATAGCTTGTAGGCAAACCCCGTGGTACTCCCCACGACGTTCTTGCGACCTACGCCCCTTTCCTCTCCAACACAAATCTCTTCGCCAACGGCGGTGTTACCCCCACCGAAGCTGTGTCGCTGCTGAGCGCAACCGAGCCGAGGGTCGATGGAGTGTTCTTTGGAGCACCATTCATCGCTCATCCCGACTTGCCCCAGCGGATTTCACAGGGCAAGCCGCTCGATAACGCGCTCAAGTTTGCTTACCTGTATGACAAGCTGGAGGAGGATTGGACGGTCGGGTATACGGACTATCCGAGGGCGATATGATTGTCACGTGATCTTATCTTTCTTTCTTGTATCTGCATTCACACCGGATTTGGTAAAATATCCCTTGAAGTAGAAACTGTTCTAGATTCTGGTAGAATCTAGAACCAAATCAACCTGTTTAGATTTGCCCAGAATATACTTTTTGGAAACTGAGATTGATTTTGGTCAAATATATACTAGTTTTAGCAAGTCTGAAGTGAAAACTATCTATGGCACTGAAACTATGCCTGAAATGGTTCATATCTGCGCGCATATATTTGGTCATGATATCACGCATATCAAATGTGGCGAAACTGTCAGTGAAATAAAGGATTTCACTGACAGTTTCAGCACGGATGATACAAAGAAAATCAGCAGTGGAGAAATGCACATAGATTCTCTTTGTTTCTATTTGCATTTCTTCACTGCTGAAACTGTAGGTTTACAGTACAATGAAATCATTGTTGAAATCTCAAATTTATTCATGTCAGAAATTGTGATTAAAACTGTCAGTATATACATTGGAGAAATTGTAAGAGATATTGTATGTATATCAGTGACTTGAGGGTCAACCCTCAAGTTAACCCTCAAGTCAACCCCAAGGGTCTGACCTCCGGGTAGACCCTACAAGTTCAGTCTCCAGCTACATATTCAAACACATAATTAGTGTCAATAGGATAACAACTTTGTAATGACTTTACACAAACTTTCTAATAAATGTTACCAGATTGTAGGAACCCTTAATACATGTTACTATTCAGTTTAGACTTATGTTTCAAAGTCAATGGTTGAGTCAGAAAATGCAAATTACTGACCCAACCCTGAGTTTTCAAAACAGTGGTAGGGCCATATCTCAATGAGTTCTTATCCATTCTCAACATGTTATATATGGGCAGGAAGGTATTCAATAGGCCTACAAACTGGTATTCAACATAAAGTTCATTGCATACAAAATCACAGACTTTATTACAAAATATATTTTGACTATTAGATTGTTAACCCAATTACTTAATGGTTTCTAGACTTTTCATTAAAAGTTAGATATAGTCAGAAAGGTATTTCAAAGTTCCACAAACTTGATTTCAACCCTGATATGGTTGATTATAAAACCACAGACTTTCACTACAAGTTAAGGTTTATTGAATTAACTTCAAAATTCAAAGTCAACCAAATGACTCCATATTGTATATGGTAGTAGAGCTTCATTGATTGAGTAAGTATTCAGTTCAAACCTATTCAAAATTTATAATCATTGACTCACAGAAGGTGAAATACTCACAAAAAAAATATCAACTTTGTTACTTTAGGGCTAGCCTGGCTCAAATAGTATTAGCACTAAATCCCTCTTCCCGTTTACTGCTTACCACTTGTAGGGTCTTACCACTTGTAGGATGGAGCACAGGTATAGCTCTGAGTCTGCTTAACTTGACTCAGACCCTGACTCTGACTCTGACTCAGACTCAGACCCTGACCCTGACCCTGACCCTGACCCTGACCCTGACTGTTACAGATAAAGGGCTGCTGGGTCTGAGTCTTGAAAGGCAGACCCTGACCTTAACAAACTCTGCCCCTTCTGGGTATAGGTCCAACCAGGTCTAGGTTGACCTACAGGTCACAGATATGGAAGCAGAAAACATGTTTAGAACAATAATTTATATGTTTTGCTATATTATCTTGTGCCAGATATAGTATATGTAGCCTATCTCTCAAAATCTAGAGTATGATCAATACAGTTCACTAATTATGATATGTTAAGTCACATAAGTGACTTGATTTTTCAAAAAAAAACAATTATAAAAATGAGATTCAGATAGTCAATTCTTAAATTACAACTGCCTATTGCCCCTTTCTAGTTGATCTTGAAAGGGTCTATGTTTGGCCAGGTTCAGAAGTTGGTGAGGTAGAGCATGGGTCAGGGTCTCAGGGTCAGGGTCAGGGTATACTAACCCTGACCCTGATTAGTATATCCTGCCCCTGACTCTGATCATGACAAGCCCTACCTGACTTGTACTCCACCCTCATCTTGTATACATAGATATGCATATGATGAAGGAGGTAAGTATATACCTCTCTCAGTTCCTTTGTACATTCTAACATGAAACCCTGCCACTTCAACCCCCCACTCATGCTTTCTAGGGAGAGTAAAATGTGGACAATGAAGAGGACCAGGATGGAACACAAGAAGGCTTATAAATACTAATTGTATTATATAACAATGATGATTTGAGCTTTTTGAATTGTATCAAATATAATATGAGTGTTAACCTGGATCAAGTCAACCTTACCCACTAGGGTCAGGGTTAAGTAGGGTCAGTGTCACAGATAAGACCTGGCCTGTTCTCTTGGGCACTAGTATCAGGCTACCAACGGCCCATAACACACAGGATGTGATGACAGGAACAGACACCCCAGTAGAGGGAAACACACATATGGGAAGCACATGACCAGGAAAGATGTGTTGGGCCCGACGCTGAGCCCAACTTGCAGCACGGAGGAACAGGAAGGAGTGCTAGGATGTTAGGAGCAGTGTCTGGCCTGCAAGGGATGTGCAATTATCTTCTCTGACAGGGATATAGGAGGAGCAGGAGAGGCCAAGAGCAGGCCCTTTTGGTTTCGATCTACCCTGCTTGCTAGGGTGGAGCACGGGTCCGGGTCCGGGTCTCAGAAGGCTGACCCTGACCCTGACCCTGACTAACCCTGACCCTTCCGGGTACGGGTCCAACCGGGTCCGGGTTGACCCACGGGTTGCAGATAAGGAAGCAGAAGATGTATTTGGGACAATAATTTTGACATAATATACATTTTGCTACATGATATTGGCTCAGATATAGTATATGTAACCTTTTCCTCAAGATTTTGAGCATATTTAATCTCATTTACTTCTATGTCACATGTCACATGAGTGACCTGAGTGACATATGATTTTTTTTGTCTCACAAAAACTCACAAAAATCATGTTTAGATAGGGAATTGTCCCATCACAACAGCTTATTGGACCCTCCGGGTTGACCCTGAAAGGGTCCGGGTTTGGCCGGGTTCAGAAATTGGTGTACCCTGACCCTGACCCTGACAGACCCTACCCTGAAACCCTGCGGGTTGACCCTGACCCGTGCTCTACCCTACTGCTTGCGAGCCCGACAATTTGTCTGTTCTGTTCCAGGCACACGCTCATAGGAGAAGACCTTGCACGGCCTGACCTGAAGCCTAATACTGACCCTGACTGTCAGGGTTCAGGTTGGGCTGTGCAAGACTCCTCTTGAGAAACAAGTGCCTGGAACAGAATAGATATTTAAGTGGGTGTCAGTGTCAGGGTCAGGTCATGTCGACAAGGCCCAATGAGTCGGTGTCAACTTGGTGATGCCTCCTTGCATAGGGTGAGGTAGTATAATAGGTGATCTAAGCAATGGAGTATGGTGTATACTATCACACCTTATATATGTGGCCCTGCTGAGGGGTGATCAGCTTGGTCCCTTGTCGCTGTTGGTGGTCAAAGGTTTGAATCGGGTCGTGTCAGGCCTGATGAGTTGGTGATTCCTCTTTGCACGGAGAGAAGCGGTACTTTAGAGACAATGTAAGCAATAGAGTACATAGTACACTATTGTGCCTTATATATGCAGGCCCGCAAAGGGGTGATTGGACATCCGACACCCTAGCCTCTCCTGCTCCTCCTCGCCCTCATTCCTGGCCACAGAGGGGACAATCGTATATCCCTTGCGGGCCAGGCGCTACTCCTAACCTCCTAGCACTCCCCCCCCCCAGTCCCTGGTGTTGGGTTGGGCTCGGCAACTGCTCGACACGTTGTTCTTGGTCACGTGCTTCCCACATGTGCGTTCCTCCAACTGGGGCGCCCGTTCCCCGTTGTGATGTGCTGTATGTTGCAGGCTCGTGATGGCCTGACACCAGCGCCCGGAGCGGACAGGCCAGGTCTTATCTGTGACAGTCAGGGTCAGGGTCAGGGTCAGGGTCAGGTTCAGGGTCTGAGTCTGAGTCTGAGTCAGAGTCAGAGTCTGAGTCAAGTTAAGCAGACTCAGAGCTATACCTGTGCTCCATCCTACAAGTGGTAAGACCCTACAAGTGGTAAGCAGTAAACGGGAAGAGGGATTTAGTGCTAATACTATTTGAGCCAGGCTAGCCCTAAAGTAACAAAGTTGATATTTTTTTTGTGAGTATTTCACCTTCTGTGAGTCAATGATTATAAATTTTGAATAGGTTTGAACTGAATACTTACTCAATCAATGAAGCTCTACTACCATATACAATATGGAGTCATTTGGTTGACTTTGAATTTTGAAGTTAATTCAATAAACCTTAACTTGTAGTGAAAGTCTGTGGTTTTATAATCAACCATATCAGGGTTGAAATCAAGTTTGTGGAACTTTGAAATACCTTTCTGACTATATCTAACTTTTAATGAAAAGTCTAGAAACCATTAAGTAATTGGGTTAACAATCTAATAGTCAAAATATATTTTGTAATAAAGTCTGTGATTTTGTATGCAATGAACTTTATGTTGAATACCAGTTTGTAGGCCTATTGAATACCTTCCTGCCCATATATAACATGTTGAGAATGGATAAGAACTCATTGAGATATGGCCCTACCACTGTTTTGAAAACTCAGGGTTGGGTCAGTAATTTGCATTTTCTGACTCAACCATTGACTTTGAAACATAAGTCTAAACTGAATAGTAACATGTATTAAGGGTTCCTACAATCTGGTAACATTTATTAGAAAGTTTGTGTAAAGTCATTACAAAGTTGTTATCCTATTGACACTAATTATGTGTTTGAATATGTAGCTGGAGACTGAACTTGTAGGGTCTACCCGGAGGTCAGACCCTTGGGGTTGACTTGAGGGTTAACTTGAGGGTTGACCCTCAAGTCACTGATATACATACAATATCTCTTACAATTTCTCCAATGTATATACTGACAGTTTTAATCACAATTTCTGACATGAATAAATTTGAGATTTCAACAATGATTTCATTGTACTGTAAACCTACAGTTTCAGCAGTGAAGAAATGCAAATAGAAACAAAGAGAATCTATGTGCATTTCTCCACTGCTGATTTTCTTTGTATCATCCGTGCTGAAACTGTCAGTGAAATCCTTTATTTCACTGACAGTTTCGCCACATTTGATATGCGTGATATCATGACCAAATATATGCGCGCAGATATGAACCATTTCAGGCATAGTTTCAGTGCCATAGATAGTTTTCACTTCAGACTTGCTAAAACTAGTATATATTTGACCAAAATCAATCTCAGTTTCCAAAAAGTATATTCTGGGCAAATCTACACAGGTTGATTTGGTTCTAGATTCTACCAGAATCTAGAACAGTTTCTACTTCAAGGGATATTTTACCAAATCCGGTGTGATTTATATACCGCTACAATCACATTAACTGCTAAGATGTGGCCAAAAATCAAGTCGATTGGCCGCCCGACATTGAATGGCTGATGTAAATATTTTCGAATCGAGGTAAGGTATGAGCAAAGGGCGGGTCAAATGTGTAAAGCTTGAATCCCATTGCCCGGATGAACTAGTACTGGTACATACATCTTACATATAAGTACACTGAAATTTCCAATACAGCCTCATACAGCAGCGCTATGGGTGTAGGTTGGACACGTTCACATTCTCCGGGTACCTACCAGCGACTTGCCGCAAAGTCGGTTGTCCAGTCCGGGTGCCGTTGGATGGTCTTCGGCTTCCCGAGGTCATCTGGAGCCCGCTCTATCCCTTGCAGGGCCGAATATCCCACAGGCCTTGTCACTGGCGCGGCATATTCCAAGAAAAGCCTCAGCTCGTCTGACTGAATCGCCTCCAATAGAGAATCGCGGATGTCAATTTGGCGCTCACGAGTGAAAGTGACATTGAGCGCCGCCAGCTGGGCGAGATCGGGGTATGAAGCTACCACAGGAGGGGTGCGCGAGAGGATGAATTGCAAGAGAAGCTCGTCCGTCAGGGCAGATGCGCCCGTCAATTCGAAGTGACGAAGAGCCGGGCAAATGGGAGGGCCATTGATCGAGTTGGTGATGATGTGGGCGAGCAGTTGGCCATCCCGTGGTGGCTTGGGCCCACGTGCATAGAGGGAGATTTTTTGAGGCTCATTGACCAGACGTAAACGCTCAACAAGGGGAGCGGCTCGTAGTCGGGCGAGCACCTCCCCAGATGTGAGGTCTTCGCAGGAGAAAGCGAGGTTCTTGAGCACATCCCCTACGATCGTAATGATAGCGAGGGACCTTTCATGGTTCAAACCAGAGATGTCGAGTGTGTGGAGCAGGGGCAGCCGCAAAAGACACAGCGTTGCAAACATCTTGGGTGTTGCGTTATCGTCATATCCCTCCCCTGTCCGTAGGACAAGCGTCGTCAGTTTCGGGAGGGTTGTCAATTCGATATTTGATTCAGGTTCTGCATGCCTCACATGACCGGCGGCGGTAACGACAAGCCTCTCCAGCGATGTGCATTCGGAGAGGAACGGAAATGGAAGCGGAAGGCCAGGCCTGTTAACTTGAGTTTTGTCGGTGTCGAAGAACTGCAGAGACAGATCGACAAGATTCCGCCAAATGATGGTGGTAGGAAGAGCGGCAAAGACTCCTTTGAAGACAAATGCCCGAAGACTCGGAGTCGATAGAATCTCGAGATTATATGGTGTCTTCCAAGAGCCTCCCGCATGAACTCGGAACTTCTCCAACCGTGGCACATCAATGGCTCTTAATTGGAAAAGTGCGTCCCCGTCCTCCGGTGACTCTGAAAGCTTTGACAATTTGATGTCGCGCCAGCGATGAGACACCGAGATCAGAACAGAAAGGTATGCCGAAACCACGCGTAGAGGATTCGCGGGCATATGAAGAGATATATTCTGCCGCTCTTCAGCGCTGAATATGTGGTCGTAACGCTGGGCCGACACGTCCAAAGGAGCGGTAGACCCTCGAGTTAACCAGCGATTCATTTCCGCCAACAGTGCTAGCTGTTGTTTCTGTGTTCTCGTCGTCATTGGATGGACGACAAGATGCATCCTGGACCAGAGTTTCGGCATACTCAAAGCCAGTGCCCGCCAATGACTGCAGACACTGGCGAGCAGCATTGGGCCCTCACTAGCGTCCAGGGCTGTATTGCGATGTGCAGGAAGAGTTTCGAGAAAGATGAGCTGGAGCACGTCGTTGGGCATCCTCCGCATAGGCGAAATGAGCGCTTGGTGTGAATCGACAAAACCGGAGAGTTCGTCCGCTTCCACAGCAATCGCACGGAGGCGCTCCCTCAGACTGTGCATCTCTGCATGCATTTCGTCCAGTTTCGTATTGTGGGGTGATAGATAGGCGCGAATCTCGTCGCATTGCGCATCGGTCGGTACCGTGTTGGTGTGGAGTATAGCTTGATAAGGCGAAGCAGGGAGGGGCATATCTTGGTGGGGCTTTGAGAGAGGGCGTGTGTTAAAATCGTACTCACTGGTGCAAGAGTGTTGACCGTAAGACTTAGGTATAGAGCGAGTGGAGGTGTGAAGCTTCTCCGAGTTCTCGATCACATCGTGACACAGCCATTTCAGGCTTTCCTCCCAACCACCGCTACCTGGCAGAAATAACGACCAGCCTTACTATTATTTTCGCTATCCTTTAGTCGCCAAACTTGCTCCCAACCATGGAGCGCACCGGAATCTTCAAAAATCGCCATCTTCAAGTGTGGGTTACTCCTAGTACTTGGCAAGCGGCATCGGGTACGTCCGCCACGGGCGTTTTCTTCATATTCTCACCTTGTTGACAGTCACCCAGACCTTCCCCATTCATCTTCGCCATACTATTTTCATCCGCTTCGTGGGGATGCTTCTTGGCGCTGAACGCGTCTAAAGCCCCTGCAAGCAATCCATATTTGAAGAGGCATTCTGGACATGCTAAGTTGTCGGGGCATCAAGGCTGTGGGTTTTCGCGTTGGTTGGGATGGTATAGCGGGATTTTCAGTGCGTTGTCCTTCTTTTCCGGTCATATTTGACTAATTTACGCGGCAGCTTCACAAGACTCGAATTTCTTGCCCTCGTCGGAACTTGCACAAACACCGCCGTTGGTACCAATCCCGTCAAATAGGACCACTGCAAATGAAGTTATCCCCCATGCTCTTACAGCCCGTTCGCTGTCGCTCACCAAATCCGCAAGATACTCAACTCATCGACTGCATCCGTATTGACTATTACTGGCAATGGACTCCTGGGTGTGGAGCTCTTGTTGCAAGGAGTTATGGAACCCAGGACTGAGTTGGGAAGATCGCCTAGCCAAGTTGCAGGCACGTTTGGACTATCAGTCCTAATCAATTGCGTTGACAAATCTTTCGTGTCTAGAATACGAGCCCACAATGCCATGAATGTCCACTATTTATCAACGACCGTCGTCTGCGCAGGGCGGTATATCCAGAGGCAGCAGTAACTCGTGTTGTTCTTTGCGATGTCAATTGCAACTTCCTTGAAGAACTACGGCCTCGCATGATGATCCTTCTCACTGCTCACCCACCCCAACCTCTCTATCATGCCCTCCGACATCTTTTCCGTCCATATTCTTCCCTTTCCGGCATTTCACATCATGTCACGCTTTTGGTGCTTGATTTAGCTACGATACGACACCGGTGTGTATTTCTTTTCCTCCTAGAATCTCTCCATTGAGCTTTTCACCCAGGTTAGATCGCTTTCTCGACTACCAACTAAAACCTTTCGCCACAGTCTCGAATGTCTCGGAATACTGTCCGTCAATCGCATCGCCACATTCTGCTCCCTGAGACATGACGTCAGAGGACCGGTCTCAGACATCTTCCCCAAATTCCGCTATCCGCTCTAGAATCCCATAAAAGCCGCCCCAGATTCGACCCCATCCTCAACCCAAACCACTACCACATCTCAAACAACAGCTACATTAACCCAAATATGCTCGCATCCTACTCTACTCGCGCTCTCGTTCCCCGCAACGGCTTCGTACCATTAGGTGGCCGTCGGGTATCCGTTCCTGACATGTCTTCACCACCATCATCGCCTTCTTCACTACCAAACCCATCCCGTATTCGTAGACGATCAGTCGACGTCGCAAAACGGTTGGCCAGCTCTGTTGCTGCCGCCGTCAAACCCACACCCATGCCATATGTCGAGCCCGTGTTTGGCCTGCAACGACGATCGCTGGGAGCTATTCCGATGGAGGAGCTCCGCCCCGCAAACTACCTTCCGATGCCCCCACGAGATATGCTCTTCCCGCGATCTGATCAGGTCGCACTATTCAAAGAAGTTGGGTTGTTAGAACGAGATGCGGATGTCAGGCTTGCGGTATTGGCTCTCCTGTAAAGCCACAGATGTGATCACTACTAATCCTCGCATGGACGATTACCAGGGCTGTCAATACCTTTCATCTTGTTCAAGTTTTCTTATGTTTCAAATAAACAATAACAACCGTTTGGTATCAGTGAAAGTATGGCTCATGAAATCTCTTCGAAGTCCAAGACATCTCCCAAAGCGATCATGTCGAGTGCAATAGCATCACTAATACCTACAACCTCTGAATCTGTCCCTCTTCATACCGCCTCAGCTTAATATGTACAACAATAAGTGATTCATGTGCTCGAGCTCTATAATGTGTAACTAGTCTACTATAGACTATGTGTAGTAGTCTATTAGAGGCCGAACTTGGTCAACCTTTCGATTTCTCGGGCGGCTTCTCCGCGCCGCCCTTCTCTAATACGCTGGGCCATCATCTTTGCATTCTCTCGGAGACGCTCGCCTTTCTCTCCGCGCGCATCCGCAAAGACACTCCGGAACTCCTTCACCGCATCATCGACCGTCCCTGTAATCTTGACACTGTCCCCGTGCCGGAGGGACGGTCCCACTTGGGCACCAGTGCGAATCTGCGTCCTTGGTGAAGCAGCACTTAATGTTCAAAGGAAGAAAGTATACCTGTAGGAGCTCGATGGCCACAGGGTTGGGTTCGGCGGATAAGAAGGCTGCGTTGACGGGCTGCTCGGCACCCGCTGGCCAGACAATGGACGGCAGCCCTAGCAGCAGCGACTCTGTGATTGAGCTAGAGAGGTTATTAGCGGGAGGCCTCCACGATGCGACGACGCACTTGAAGCCGCCATGTGTCAAAAACCACCCGACCGCCTCGTGCTGCAGAATGGCCCTTTGCTCGACCCAGAAGGCGCAGATAAGACCCTTGCCGCTGGAATTCACGCGTTCGATTGTTTCGGCGGGAAGGGATGCCATGGCTCCGCCCAATGCGAAGATGAAGGGGAACGGTTGGTCCAAGGAAAGTAGAGTATCAATGAGGCCCTCGACGTGCTTCGGTGTCGCTATTGGAAAGAACAGCGAACTACTAGCTTGAGAGCCTTTTTCTGATAGCAATGCTAGCGCTCACCCAAATGATATGTAAAGTGCAGAATTTTTGCCGTAGTTTCTCAAGGCGGCGTCAAGGAAGCCTTTAACCGTCTCGTTTGAGATCGGCGTCGGTTCTGGCTGCTCGGTGAAATATCTCTCGTGCGACTGGAGGCCGATGGCAAAGATTTCCTGGCCCTTGTTTTTGTAGAACTCGCGGAGGTGGGGAATGCCGACGGGCTCGAAGAACGCGCCAGAACAGAGTATATACCCGTCGACAAGCCTCGCCATGTCCATGGCCGCAGTGAAGACCAGGAAGTTGATGCGGGGGACGCCAGCGGCCAGCGAAACACGTTCATAGTCGTACATATCCGGTGCACCAGGGTTTCTGACCACAACGCCTTGCACCTTGTCTGAGCCATTGCAAGCCGTGGCGATCTAGGAGGTTCAAGTCAGCTTTCGGCGAGATTGGACTGAGCGATGAACGCACGGCAATGCCAATTTCCTCCCTCGTTCGTCCTGCTCGCCGACTCTCATCCGCATAAATCGTTTCGCAAATCTCCGACCAGTCGTAGTCGTTGATGTGGGCTTTGAGAGTGAGACCGGCCGTGGCGAACCACATCAGTATCTTGCAGGTCGGGCCCATGATTGCTTTACTTTCCCGCACAAGCATTCCGCCTGCGGTAAAGTCGAACTGGTTGCAAAGTGACCGTAACGTGAGCTAGCAAGTGGAGTCGATAACCATAAGACGAACATGGATGCTCTGGGGCTTTGGCCATTGCGGAGTTCCGATGGCCAGCTCAGGAAGAGCATTAGTCCACCCGCCGAGGAGCTCTTTGAGCATTTGGTCAATGGCGGTTGGGCTGAACACGGTACTGGCGGAGCGCATTCATTAGCTACGGGTCCTTGGACTGAGGGATGATGAGACACACTCTTTATTGCCCACACCCAGTATCCTCAGCCGCGATGTATCGTAAGCACAGCTGGCTAATTCCTTCTCCATCTGTGCAACTAGTTTCCGATTAGTTTTAGTGACCTAAGTTCTGGAATGACCGAGACCATACCGACGAGGTTATGCTGTACGATAGAGATTACCAGCGTTGGGTCTGCCTTGAGCATTTGGATGGCAAGGTGGAGATAGCTGACTGCATGTCCCCAGGCGGGTGGCAGCAGAGTCAAGATATGGTGCATGGTAAAACTGTGGAGCGAACTTGTAAGGAGAGCCTGTGGGTGGTGGAAGAGCAACGTCGAGCATTAAATACCACCGCCAAAGATTACGGAGCCCGGTCGTGGACACGAGAAGGCGTGAGTCATCCACGATAACGCGGAAGTCGAGTAACAAACGGCATCCGCGTCGGTGAGTGGGTTGGCCCGCCATATGAACACGTAAGAGGATACAATGGCGCTGCATAGGTTGTGAGTATTCCAGACAATGGGCGCCGAAATGTTTCAACGGAATCTTTGAACGGATCGACACACTATCTTTCGATTTTCGTCGTTCGATGCGGGTATCCCGCCGGCTAGAAATTGACGCGATGGCAATCCGACAGTCTGTTGCCGACCGGCGTCTCTGTGCAAGAAGGCTCATGGAATCACCGATAACATCGTCGTATTGGTCATTCGACGTCGCGGGGTCAAAATGACATGAGGAAGGAATGTGCGATATGAAAACGAACAACACGTCCGTAAGCTGCGGCTTAGTGAGGCAGTAGACAAGCGAATCGGCAAGCTTACCTTGTGGTTTTCAGCCTGCCAGCGAGCAGTCGAGAGCCTGGGACTCAGCCTCATAGACAACGATATCATGATCAGCATTGCATCCCACGTTCGTGTGGCGCTTAAAGGGGCGTGAAGAACGTGACAATGTAGTAGTTAGAAATTGCTGTGGTGGTCCCTGATTCGGAAGCAAAAGCTTTAGATTGACTCGGACGGGAGCCATATATCCGTCACTGAAATCAAGTATGAGACACATGTGATACTTCATAGGGGAAGGGAAACGCACTTTCCACCAAGCCAGCTCGTTTCTGAGCCACGAAATCTTCTGCCCTGGCCCATAAATCGATTCCACCCCGAGCCTTGACCTCCCAATCCTTCCAAAAGTCAGAATATGCGAACGGTTCTCGGCTCACAACCAAACGGGGGTCGGGGTCCGAGAATGTGAGGTGGGTCCATGCCAGGGAGTTGTTACTGTCACTGTTGAGAAGAAGGATTTGCAGTCGAGGACAGGATTTGAGCAGCATCGCGAAATCATGGAACTGGCTTCGATAGTGGAGCTTCAGCCGCAGATGTGTTAATGCAGGAAGCCCAGGCAGCGCGTCATGAACCCGCTGTAAGAGTAGCTCTCCGGACAGAAGCTTGTCGTGGAGGACAAGGTGGGTGGTATGGGCCAGTGCTGCGTGACCAGAATCGATAGGTCTGAGGACAAACGCGAACAACGGCCCCAGACTAAGAGTCAGACTCCTGACTCGCATGGAAGCCAACATGCCCAGTAGTATGGGCTCGTTGAAGCGGTACGTCGTCCCGAAGTGTATAATACCCTGACACTTGCCCATAATTTCGCAGACATCATCAAGTGTCCATTTGAAGTCAGACTCGAGCATGAGAGATTTAACGTGTCGCTCGAAGTAGGCGGCGGGCTTGCAGCGTAGTTCGGACATAAATGCATGTGAATGAGCAGAATCGTTCAGTCTGACCGTCCGGAAGCGCAAAGGTTCAATCCTGCAATCAGGAACTTGGAGTCAGGTATCGAGTCCTCAGATAGTGACCCTTACCATGTGTATATGCGCTTGCAGACGAGCAGCAATGAGAGAATGTCCAGCGGATTCTGCAAGAAGGCTAGCTCAAAGATTTTGCCCTCGAGTTCGACGGGAAGCTCGACAAACATGGAGGTGGATGAGAGAGAAGTGCCGATCAGACCACCTGTGTTACGTCACGAAAATCTTTCCTCCTCTTCTCCCTCATGCCCTTTGACCTTGCTTCACTCCAGTCTCATATTCAGATCTCGACACACAAGCAGCACCTCATACTCACTGCGCTCGCTGCCTCTCTTGGCACAGCTGCTCTCTTCTCAGGCTACTCGCTGCTGGACAAACGACGGAGGAAGGACAGACGGAGAGAGCTTGAGGGCGATGCGTTGCGGAGTATTATTGGGTCGAAAAATGCCACCAGACATGGGTCTCCAGTCCCGGAAGACATAGAAGAACCGCATATCCGACTTGGTGGCGAAGCCTATGCCGAGCACCTCATCAGGGAGCAGCTGGCGCGAAACTACGCGTTTTTCGGGGAAGAACCGATGGCAAGGATACGGAAAGCAAGGGTAGTGGTCGTGGGATGCGGTGGGGTGGGTAGCTGGGCGGCGGTAATGCTTGTCCGCTCGTGAGTTCAGAGGGTTTTTGTTTCCCGAGAAACTGACGCAATTTGCTAGCGGCATTTCTCATATCCGACTCATTGACTTCGACTATGTTACGCTGTCGTCGCTCAACAGGCATGCCACTGCCATGCTTTCGGATGTGGGCACACCCAAAGTAGCATGTGTTGCGCGGAGGCTAAGAGAGTTCTCTCGGTGGGTGGAGGTCGATACTCGCACTGAACTCTGGAAAAATGACGACGGAGGAAAGGAGTTGCTGGACGGGGCGGACTGGGTCATTGGTATTCGAATTCTTTCGCTTGTTATTCCGCAGTCTGATAATTTCCAGACGCTATTGACAACATCCAGACCAAAGTCGACCTGCTCCACTACTGTCACTCCCACAATATCCCCGTCTTCTCCTCCATGGGCGCGGGCGCCAAAACCGACCCCACACGCATCCAGATTGCGGACATCGCCAACACGATTTACGACCCGCTTGCCCGCGCGGTTCGGCGGCGGCTGCGCAGCTTGGGCGTACCCTCGGGTATTCCGGTCGTATACTCCACCGAAGTGCCTGGCGATGTCAAGCTGCTGCCGCTGCCCGAAGAGGAGTTTGCGAAGGGGAAGGTCCAGGAGCTGGGTGTGATGGACGAGTTTCGCGTCCGGGTGCTGCCTGTTCTGGGGCCGTTGCCGGCCATATTCGGGCTCAACGCTGCTACGTATGTACTGGCCGAGATCGGCGGGAAGCCCATACCGAATCCATTACCCGTCAAGAACCGGCGGAAAGTGTACGAAAAGCTGTTGCGGGACCTGCAGGGCAGGGAGGCAAAGAGGAGCGGCGCGGAGCCGGGTGTGGTCCCGTGCGTATTCCCGTTTTCGCCGCATCTTTCTCATCCCAGTCACAGACGTTTGCCTATCGACGAAGATGACGTCGCGCTCATATTCGAAGACATCCATCGTGGTCGCTCCATTATACCTCCACACCCGGTACCGACTACACCCACCCTTGTGCGGTTAGTGGCTGCTCTTTTACTTGTGCCTCATTGATTTTGCTCTCAGTTGGGACCCGGCCATGGCCCTTACGCCCGAGAACGTGGTCGTGATGGAGCGCAAGGAGGCGACGAGACACGAAAATGGGATATATGGAGCGACGAGCCCTGTGGAAATGTGGGGGGCAGAAACGGACGCGCTGGTGGAAAAGCACAGGAAACAGATAAGAAGGGTGCGAGAGTGGGTAGATTGGGATGTTCCTAATGAGAGCCGTATGCGAGGCAATGAAATCATCTAACTCGTCTCGTCTCCGTCTTACATGTGCACGAACGAGCATGTTTTGGATTCTTTCTTTTTTGATATTTAGTCGCGGTAGGCTCCATTCTCAAAAAGCACCATTTAAAGAACACACTAACTATGGGGCACTCAGGTTTTAGCTTCCACACCCGCACGGTTCAAGTTTCGAAATATTTGGTGCCGAGGACTGACCGACCGAGTGATTCGACTGTCACATTTTTCTGCTTCTGTTCCGCACCACCACCACAAACGCGACTATTTTCCCCCAAGCGGTGGCTCCCATTCTCCCAACCGCCGACGAGATATGCTAGCTTCTATGTCTGACCGAGAAAACTGGCGCCGCAGAGAAAATTTCCCGCACGCCACGAATGGTGGAGGGCTGAAGGTCAAGCCTGCTAGGTGCGCCCGCGGTGCCATGACTCTCTGCTGTTTTCTTACAATATTATTGGCAGCAGCTGGCTTACCCCGAGCTCTTCTGACAACAACGACGGCACCAACCTGGTCTAGCCAACAACATTAACATACATTTGGGCGGTGATAACAGGTCCGATATCTTCCTGGCGTCCTCGCAGTGACACAACACGATCCTCTCGCCGCTATCCCACTGCCCCATGCCGAAATCTTCACGGTCACCGCATTCCGGGGCACCTCTACATCCTTGTCTTGACCCTCAAGCTTAAGACAGTCCTGGATGCTGATATAGCGAGATCTTGGAAGTTGGGTGTGTGCTTCGCTCATTGACCTGTATAGTTGTTAACTACCAAGGCCAGTTGTTTACATCGTAATAACCCTCAACTGTCCGCTCTCCGACTCCACTTCCCCGCGCTTCGTGTTGTCACCAACCACTCCACACGACGCCGAAACTTGCGTCCTCCTCGGTTGCTTCAATTGCGGGATGCAGGAGAATATCATTGTCCTTCTCGACCTTGACCACCATATACACCCAAATATTGCAGCCCAAAGACCTCCAACCTCTTTCCCGACTACAAATCGTCCTTTTCCCCTCGATCTTTTTTTGGCGGTGTCACGCTCGTCACGTCACGCATTTTGCTACCCGATTTGGCGACTTCACTACTCCACCACCAGAGCAGTTCTGTCTTAACCGACCATATCCCGTTGTGCCTTGGCATGCAAAGCACCCACCCAATTCTTTTTTCCCACTAGTTTGGAGCACAAGGTACTCGTTGGAGGCCTTCTTTCGCGCGACTTCTTTCGCGCCATTGTCGCCTTTTCCTCGCCCATAGGACCTACGAGTGACGGCAAAGGTGTATGCTGTGTTGAAGAATAGAGTTCTAGTGCATGCTTCGCTGCCCCAGAGCTGGAAACGCTGCAGATTTTGGCGCAGTGCCTCTTTCGCTGCTTATACGAGTGTTATTTCGGCGCTTCTCGACATATCCGAATCAACACGATATTTGAGATGACCCTGGGGGGAGAGATGGCGTGTTTAGGAGAACACTGACAAACTTAACATCCTAGGATGGTCACTGATTGTATGTGCTAATATTTCCTTTCAATTTCTGGTTTCTGACTCGTCCTTGGTGCTAGGATATATATGTACAATTGCTGGGTATTCAAGGAATTCTGTAATAATGTTATGCCGCTTCTGAATTACTTCTATCGAATTCCGAGTCGACGCATTCTGCGCTACTTTCTGTGGTTTCCACTTGATTATCGGACACGTCCGCCAATTTCCAAGCATCAGTCAGACTTTTGGCCCGGGGGCCGATTTATTGCCAGATCCCTGCCTTGACTGCTCACTCACGATCTTTCTTCTCCTCGACGTTCTAGTGCTGTATCGTAGGTTAAGTTGTTGGAGTTTGAGCTCATGGCCCGCCAGGCTGCTTTGACAGCGTCTTTGCCGGCGCTACATTCTATTAAGCCAGCCAAGGCGGTATAAGGAGGGACAGATCCGAGTCAGAGGTGGAAGGATCACTATAGGAGATGTCTTGGACTGGGAGAACTTTAGAGACCATGAGCCATGCTTTCACTGATACCAAACACAAACAGTTGTTATTGTTTATTGCAACATAAGAAAACTTGAACAAGATGAAAGGTATTGACAGTCATGGTAATCGTCCCCGCTACGATAAGTAGTGATCACATCTGTGGCCTTACAGTAAAGCCAATACCGCAAGCCTGACATCCGCATCTGGTTCTAACAACCCAACTTCTTTGAATAGTGCAACTTGCATCGGAAGGTAGTTTGCAGGGCGGAGCTCCTCCATCGGAATAGCTCCCAGCGATCGTCGTTGCAGGCCAAACACAGGCTCGACATATGGCATGGGTGTGGGTTTGACGGCGGCAGCGACAGAGCTGGCCACCCGTTTTGCGACGTCGACTGATCGTCTGCGAATACGAGATGGGTTTGGTAGTGAAGAAGGCGACGATGATGGTGAGGACATGTCAGGAACGGATACCCGACGGCCGCCTAATGGTACGAAGCCGCTGCGGGGAACAACAGCGCGGGTAGAGTAGGATGCGAGCATATTTGAGTTAATGTAGCTGTTGTTTGAGATGTGGTAGTGGTTTGGGTTAAGGATGTGGTCTGCTCTGGGGCAGCTTTTATGGGATTCTGGAACGGATAGCGGAATTTGGGGAAGATGTCTGAGACCGGTCCTCTGACGTCATGTCTCAGGCAGCAGAATGTGGCGATGCAATCGAGGGAGAGTCGTCCGACACATTCGAAAGGTTCCGGTTGGTAAGAAACGGTCAAGAAGGCGATCTAACCTGGATGAAAAGATCAATGGAGAGATTCTAGGAGGAAAAGAAATACACACCGGTGTACACTGGCATCTAGAGTGACTGCTGGCCCACGAGTTTCGGCTCTTCAAGCGTTGCCCACCAAAAAGAGAGTCGACAACCGGGGCATGAAGGACGACACAAGCAGGGCATTGTTGCAGGAACTCGTAGATTGGCGGCGGGAAAGGACGCGCTCGCGGTCGGACTAGTGTTGCCGTTGGTGGTGCCCTTGCAAAAACACGGGGGGTCTTTGGATACAACGAGTTCTTTTCGTGTGCAGTGGTCCGATATGCTGCGAAAGGAAGGGACCAGCGGCGGTCTTCTAGTTATGTCCGTCCACAGCGACATTCGTCTTGTGAACTTGCTTGTGAAGCTGACGAGTGGATCCGTCAGCCAGTATAACTGGAAGAGAGGTCAATAACGCACTGAAGCCGGCCACATGAGGTCCCAGCAGTCGTCGTTGGTGAAGGATCTTGGATCCGTACTATAGCGCCACAACGAGAAGAACTCTGAGATCTGAGATCCTATGTCCTTCACCGCTAAGTAACCGAGTTATTGGTCGCCGGCTGGAGATGGAACATCAGGATGCAGTGAAAAACAAGTTGTCAGTGGATGCACCTTCAACTTCAAGTTCAAGATGTCTGGGCCCAACCTCACTCATCTGCGCATCTACATTCGTTCCTTGGAAGGCAGAGATGTCATCTGGGGAGCTGGCGGGACAGTGGAGAGCCGGAATACGTGCTAGTGGTCGTGGTCAAGGAAAGAAGTGTGACACTTCTCAGATAGATGGACAACCACGACATTTCGGGCTCGGTCGTAGGATTGCCCATGGAATCCTCACCCTTCCAACATATTCTTTACACCAACGCTGTCCCTAGCGATCAACAATACAACGAGATTCGTGTCTTTCTTGCTCCACACCGTGCCAAACATGCCAAACTAGAGGAAGAAGTTGCTCTCCTCCGAAAAATGCTCGAATCCGCTCTCCAAGCACGCAGCAAGCTTGAAAGCTTCATTGCTCCCCACGCAGCACTCCTGTCGCCCATGCGTAGAATGCCCGACGATCTACTTCGCCTCATCTTTCTTCACACTCTCCCCGAGGAACGAAACGCCGCAGTCCATGGCAGCGAAGGCCCATTGCTCATTGCGAATATCTGCAGCCATTGGCGAGGCCTTGCCATGACCACCCCACGTCTTTGGTCGAAAATGCATCTCGTTGTTCCCACCCTAACGCCCGGTTCCCCCCAGGATGCTGTTATACAGACACCTGTGGTCGCCCAATTGACGCAGTGGCTTAAACGAGGAGGTGCTGTCCCCATAGACATCAGCACCCATGCCTACCAGATGCTGTCTGAAGACTATCAATCACTAGCAGAAGCTCGGGCTGCCTCCTTAATGCGGTCTTCGCACCGTCCAGTGGTATCCCCATACCTATCTACGCTGCTCTCAGTCACCAGTCGTTGGCGTAACATGAAACTTCTAGCGTTCGCTCCCTTGGAAGTGGACGCCCTTCTTCAATTGAAGGCCAACGACGTGCCCCAGCTTGAGAAATTCGAGATTATTACGAATAGCCCAATACCCAACAAATTCGAAATATTGTCGACACCAAGCCTCCGCGCACTCAACATCCGCAGTACAATTGCCACCCTTCCTAGTACCATTGGCTGGGAAGCTCTTGTTGAGCTCGACCTATACATCCTACCAGCTGCCGATGTTGGCACCGATCCTTTCCCGTTCCCATTCCTGGCCCGATGCACGTCCCTCCAACGTCTAGAGTTATCTCTAGGCAGTCATATCATCGACCAGTCTGACACTCAGGGCGGTCATGGACCAGCACTTCCAAAGTTAACAGCACTCATACTCAAAACCACCTATGCACACAACATAGAGACGACACCCAGAATCTTCCTAGCCATTCGTCGGCTCCAGCTACCAAATCTTCGTACCTTGGATCTCTGCTCTAATATTGGGATGGATTTCGAAACAACCTTCGGTCTCCTGAAGGCGGTAGGACATAGTATACAGTCGCTGGCACTGTCGATGAGACGGCTCTCATCGGGTCAAGTCACTTCCTGTCTCCAACTGGTGCCGCTTGTAGAACGATTGCGTTTAGTCAGCGATCCCAGTGACAAAATCGATGTCCTCACCTCACTCAATCCACACCCAACTTCAAATCCCGAATCAGAAGCAGTAAACCCAATCTGCCCTGCGCTCAGCCATCTTGAATTCAATTTTACATCTGTCGTACCCGACGACGCGATTGTGCACTTCCTAAACGCTCGAGCGTCTGCTCTGCCCCCCCTACGTTGCCCAGCTACACTCATTCAGCGCGTGCTTTCTCCGGGACAGGCAACTCGATGTTCACAATGCTGTAGCCGATGCCGTTTCTTGTGGATTGAAGCTTTTCATCGCATATGCGCCACAACGAGAGTCCCTGAGTAGTCGGAAATATTCAGCGTTCTTGGGCATTGAGCATGACCGTGACCGCATGACCTGGCGTCAGACGTGGCAACTAGAGCAGATGGCGGGTAGACACTCCGAGCCATTTGTACACAGGCAATGGGCGTAACACCAGATTCGACTCATAGCCTACCCGATACCGTTTGACCCAGTAATGTTTGTTTGACTGAGATTGTTATAATAGTACTGTAGGTACCGTCTCAGATGTAATACTATGTCCAACCTGAAAAGACACCACCCGGAAACTCAGACTCGCACCATGTCCAGCTTAATTCCGTCGAAAGGCACTTCTACCCACAGGACCGAAGGTCGTTAGCACCGCAAAGTTCAGCCCATAATGCTGCCCATTTAACGCATATAGTTCCCACTAGCACCCCAAGCACTTAGTTATTACCGCGCGCAAAAGCATCTCCAACAAGTACAATCCACAGCATATTTTGGGATGAAAAGAGTTAGGCAGATGAAGTAGATACCTGAAAGGATGGATACTGCCTGCACGCACGACTTCTTGATCAAATCTTGCCATCATACGATCAGCGGTAGTTACCGCCCTAGCCGTTACAGTGGGGATTAGCTCTTACTTCTCTACCACCAACTGTAACCTAAACCTACGTGTTTTCAACAAATACGACAAGTTAAAGTTCTATCGTGGTCCTTGAAGTAAGCGCCCCTTTTACTTTTTTGAACTTACCTTGCGTTAGAAACGAAATTACGACGCGACTTGAGCGCGTCTAACCACCCAGAACCCTTTCTCCATTACCCACTCAGAGTCGCGTTCAGAAATGTCCAAACGGGCACCATCCCAACCCCCAAACACTCCTCGACGATCTAATCGTCATCTTCCAAAGGAAGAAGCCGACCTACCTACCGGACGTATTGAACGCGATGCGCGTGGGCCAACTCTTCAGCAGTCGTCACCCCATAGTGATTCGTATGAGCAACCGAGTAGTGCGGGACCACCGCACGAATACGGCACGGACAGTTTTGGGTCCACGCTGACGACGATAAATTCACGCGAGCACAGCTCAGACAAATTTAACGTCGCGCCAACGAACATGGACCAGTCTGCTGAGGCGAGAGTCGGAACCACGGCAACAGAGTCTCCATTTATTGCTCCAATCGCGAGTAGTGAATGGAGGCCAAACCCAATGGGTCCGTTTGCCATACAACGCACACCATCGGTACTCGCGCGCATCAATGCGGGTGACCAAATGGCGGTGGTGAATGCAATGGCGCAGCAGCATAATCGGAGAGCAAGGGTTGATGAAGTCTCTGACCACTCGGTGTCCCCTAGATTGAGACCATCGATGTCGTTGGGACAGTCGACACAGGCACCGCCGCAAAGACTGTATCCGGCCACTAGGTTTCAGTCCCCGGTACCTCCGCAAGTGGACTTCAGCTATTCACAGTTGTCACCGATGTATAATGTTAGTAATGCACCGTACACGTTTACGGGGTCGGAAATGTACCATACCCCTCATTCGTCAATGAGCTGGAATCCGTATCCACCAATGGTTAACCCATGGGGTCCAGGATATCCACCCTCACATCCATACCAACCCATTCCTGTCGTACCCCCCTACATTGGCCCGATGCCGACGCCATGGACAGGACCAACTGCACCAGCAAGTCATGTTCCCAGACCGCTGTCACAACAATCGATGAGCGAAGGCACGCGACAACGGCGCCGGGAGGAGAAACAACGTGCAGTTGTCTCATCGGGAGGATCCACCTCACCCCCTCTGTCATTGCCAGACAAGTTGAATCGAAACAGTGATGATGATGAGATTCTAAAAGCGGCGCATCAGTATCTGCTTAACTATAATCCCGAGAATACCTCGGATGACCGGGTTACAATTCAGCGCAAGATCGCAGCGCGAGAGCGAATTCAGGCTCAAATTGCAGCTGATGCAGAGTTGGCCCGGGCGATAGATGCAGAGGAACAGGCACAGCAGAGACTGTGGTCTGGAGACCGCGAAAAGGCTGACAACTATGCAGAAGCAAGACGTGAGCCGACAGTGATTGAAATTGAGGATAATACACAGACCGTTGAGCTAGAGAAACTGGCCAAAGAATATGAAGAGGCCGTAGACAAGGTGCACAAAAAATACAGCCCAATTGTACCATCAGTCCCGGCAGGTCGCAATTTGAGAACTAGAGTGAATGTAAATCCCGAGGGTGACCGCAAGCCGTCAGAACCTAACTGGGCCCCAACCTCATTTGAAGATCGCAAAGCATTGCAGCAGTTCGCTGACGCAGCAGCTCGCGATCCAAACTCGAATACGCGCTACCCTGACCAAGGGCTTCGATTAATAGATGGCAAATGGGTTGACATTAGAGTCCCAAAAAACGCTCACCTCGCTGACTCCAAACACGAGCGAACGAGTGAGGCAAAGCCGGTGCGATCTAGGCCGATGAAGCGGACCGCCATAAACGGGCCGCCCGACCCGAAAGATGACCCCAGTGACTCGTCATCGGAAGACGATAAACGCGGCGGGAAGTCAGGTCGCTCGGATAAGCAAAAGCCTGCGTCAGGTGGGCCAAAAATACCTGTCGCAGACAATCGCATACCCTACAGCGGAAATCCATTCCTGTGGGAAGATGAGGAGAATAAATTATCAGACTATAAATTGCGACATACCAAAGAAATGATATCACGAACCACTATTTCCGCGTTCGACGTCATTGGGGGAGTTCCGTCTGAGCAGCTGCACGAATGGAAGATTGTGATGAACTCGATGGTGTACCGTACCTGGCAGGAAAGTCTGCAGGTACCCTGCAAGAGTGCAGTGATTCTGGACGAGGTACGCGGGCTGAAACTCCCACAACCCAGTAGCTATAGCGGGTCGGCAGACGTGTTGCAATTTGAAGAACATATGAAAAGTGTTCTGCGACACTTCAAGATGCTCGGTATGGCAGGTCCCTCGTGGGATACCCAGTGCACCGACATGTATGGATTATACCTAAAAGGTTCAGCCAAGTTGTTCTACGATGATGAAGTGACAGGCATTCACCGTACAACGCGAAAATGGTATTTTGTGCACGTTCTCGCTGCGATATTTGATCGATTCGTATCGTCCACTGCAATACAGCAGTCAGCCAAGGCGTTTGACAAGATAACCTGGAATAGTGAACTCGGAGTGGATGGACTGTACAACGAACTCACCTCCAACGTTCGTCGGATGATGTTCCCGCCGGATGCTCACTCGGTCAAGCGCAAGTTCTTGGCTACGGTGCCTGCGAAGATGCGCGGGTTGATGTTGGCGCGCAACGCATACCCAGAAATTTGTTCCCTGGAGAACATGAAAGATATTGGGCGTGTCGTAGAGCATGGAATGAACACCATGAATTTCTACAGTGAAAATACTTTCAAGTTAGCGGGAGATTCAAAGGAGAAACGAGATTCACCTCGCTTAGCTGCTGTCCTTGATGCTGAAGATGCTGAAGACAATTCAAGTCAACGCATGGCCGCGATTGACCAAAATCGACAGCGACCGTTCATCCCGTTCAGGAAGAATGGGGGAGGGTACCAGCACAAAAGACGGAACGAGCAGGCGAAGGGAGTCGATGGGAAGCAGGATGATAGTCCTAGAGATAGACCCAATAGCAGGGAAGCTGGACAACGGCCCAGCCGACCGAAACCCCGGTTCCAATCACAAGGGCAGCGTCGCGAGTTCATGCGAGCTGCGCATGTAGACGACGATGGCGCAGATGACGAGCGTCCGAACCCAACAGAGGAGGACGATGGGGTCAACGAAGAAGAAGAAGATCATGTGACCCCGGATGATCAGCCGGAAGAAAATTCCGAAGAGGCGGAATACAACTCAGATTACACCTATGAGGAGGTGTCTGACCATTCGGAGGATGAAAACTTGATTGCATGTTATCATATGCAAACAGCACAATCGATAGAGGACGATTGCCCCGAACTACAACAAGTATCCGACTCAGAAGAAGAAATGGATGAGATCGAGGATACGACTGGCTGTCCTCCGCTATTGGAGGTATCCGACTCGTCCGGTGAAGAAGATAACGGCTATGAAACGGCCGACGAGAGCCCAGACGAGACGGAGGACAATGAATCAATTGCAGATTTGGAGGACGAGGAAATTGATGTGTTTGCACGCGCAATACTCACGCATATGAATGAAGCGCATACCAGTTTTGAAGATTCACTTGAGTATTTCTCGAGAATTGATGAATCTAGAACGGCGACAGCCACAGGAACTCGTAGAGTGCCGCTAAAGCGAGCGAAGGAAGTTCACGAACGACCCAGTCGAGCCAAACGCGAAAATCATTGCCTCACTGCGTTTGTGAATATCAACGGCCAAAAGGCGTTCACGCTATTTGACTCAGGATGCACAACCGAAGCACTAAGCCCAGATTTTGCTAGAATTGCTCAGGTGGAAGTGTTCCCAATTCAATCGCCAGTGGTATTGCAGCTTGGTACAGCAGGCAGCAAAGCGAAGATTAACCATGGCACGTTCGTGAAAGTGCAATATGGTCCACTGCGGTCGGAACAATACTTTGATATCGTGAATCTTGACCGATTCGACGCGATTATTGGCACTAAGTACATGCGTGAGCATAAAATCTCGCTGGACTTCGAAATGGATACCGTGCGCATTCAAGGCCAACCCAGCCCAACACTGTCGGAGCGGGATGAACGTGATGTTATCGAACGTCGGGCATCCGCTCGGTTGGCCAGCCCAAACCGACAATGACTCGTGGGTGCAGAGAATGTCATCTCTGCAAACCCAACGGCGGGCAATTCAAAGGCCCCGCATCGCCGACAAGGACATCGTGCAATGGTAGAAGAAGTAGTGGATGAAGAAACGTTTGCTGCACTAGAACGAAAATTTCTACCCCAGGAGTGGGTAAGTCCATTAGAAGAAGCAGCAGTTGTCGACGCACAACTAGCTGCTCAGAATACCGAACTGGTATACGAGTTTTCTCGATATTATACGCCAAAGGCAGAGAACCCAAGATCAGATCCACTTGACAAGGCATTCAATCGAGTGCCACCCCAGCCAAAGGAAGGGGAGCCCGAACCACCACTGCCTCCAGAGCAGAGAGCGCCGAGAACAAAGGCTAATCGCCCGCCATCTACTCAGAACCTGAAGCTGAGAAATGACATGACGGAACGACTCACCGAGATATTTACGCGAGCAGCAGCAGTGCAAATCGAGGAATGTGCGAAAACAGGGTCGCTACCCACCGAAGAAGACATTCCCGCGATCCGAGACAGCTGGTTACAGATCAGCGAAGACATACTAAAACGTGAATCAGGACGCCCCCAGTTGAAGAGGATGGACAGACACCAAGGGCATAAGCAGCAACCAACTGGCCCATTGTTGGCAGAGGACATTCCTAGGTTGCGCGCTCAATGGATATCGACCAATGAGGACATCATGTCTGGATTACCAGAAGAGATGCCTCCGCTAAGAAAGATCAACCACCGAATCAACCTGATTGACGAAAACAAAGTGTACCATTACCATCTGCCCCGTTGCCCAGATGCATTGAAACCCCAGTTGTTGGATAAAATCAACAAGTATGTGCGAGCGGGATGGTGGGAGCCCATACAAACAGATCAAGCGGCTCCCATGCTGTGCATTCCGAAGAAGACAGGGAAGCTGCGGACAGCGATTGATGCTAGAAAGCGCAATGAAAATACGCTCAGAGACGTGACGCCGTTCCCAGACCAGGATCAGATTAGGCTGGACTGTGCCCGAGCCAAGTATCGGTCGAAAATTGATATGAGCGATGCTTACGAACAAATTCGAATCGTGGCGGAAGATGTTTGCAAAACTGCGTTTGCCACAATCTATGGCACATATGTCAGTAATATTATGCAGATTGGTGACTGCAATGCGCCGGCGACGTTCCAACGAATCATGACTATGGTTTTTCATGAATTTATCGGGCGCTTTGTGCATGTGTACTTGGATGATATATTTGTGTTCTCTGATTCCATTGAAGATCATGAAGAACACTTGAGCCAAGTATTTGGTACGCTCCGGGCCAACAGATTCTATCTCAAGAAAGAGAAATGTGAATTATATGCCGACAAATTAGATTGTCTTGGGCATGTCATTGACGACACAGGAATACACGCTGATGCCGATAAAATGAAAACCATACGGGATTGGCGAACACCGCAGAACTACCATGAGGTACAACAGTTTCTCGGACTTATTCAGTATTTGGCCCCGTTTTTGCCCGATATCAGTGCTTATACAGGACCACTGTCGGGGATGTGCAAGAATGGTACTCCATTTACGTGGCATCCTATACACCAGTCCTGCTTTGACTCCATCAAAACCATTTGCTGCCGCACGCCGGTACTGAAGCCTATCGACCCAAACAGCGATGAACCCATCTGGGTAATTTGCGATGCGTCGGTATCGGGAGTTGGTGCGGTTTATGGGCAAGGTCCCAATTGGCAGGACTGTCGACCTGCAGGGTTCATGTCCAAGAAGTTTACGTCTGCGCAACATAATTATCGCGTGTTTGAGCAGGAAACACTTGCAGTTTTAGACGCCCTACTAAAATGGGAAGATAAGCTCATGGGATATCGGTTCCATGTGGTCACGGACCACAAAGCGTTGGAGTTCTTCCATACGCAGCGCAACTTGTCGCCACGCCAAGTGCGTTGGATGGAATACCTGTCCCGATTTGACTTTGATATTCGGTATATCAAAGGCACATTGAACAAAGTTGCAGATGCACTGTCGCGATACCATGAAACAGACGACTGGAGCATGAACGGTTGCGAATTTGCGAACGCTGATATCAGACTTGACCCCGATATGGACCATCTACCATGGGATCGTAGCCAGGAGGTGGTCGAGCTGAGAGCAATGGCAGAGTCACCACGGGTTCGACGGAGTCAACGGCTTCGAGATATCAAAGTGCAACGAGGCATGGAACCTCGAGATGAGGAGGCGGAGAAGTTCATTGAACAGCAAACGGCTGGTTCAGGTGAGAACGGAGATGCAAAGCGCAATGCGGAGGACCCTACAGTGTTCGAGTCACGAGCGCGCGAAGAAGCAGTTAATCAGCCGCTGCAGCTAAACGATGAGCTATTGACGATAATAAAAGCCAACTACATACACGACCCAGTATTCCAAAAAGTGTTAAAAGCACCAAGAGACTATCGGAATTTTTGGGTCAGAGATGAGGTGATATATATGAAAAACCGTGGTGGTGAAGATGTGGTATGCATTCCGAAAGCCAACATCAGGAAATGTGTTTTTGCTACCAGACCACCTCTTTAAGCACCATAGACCTGGTAGCATCAGTAGCATCAGTTGCATCAGTAGAATTCAGGCAGCGCTAAGTAGCTGATAATATCAGCTGGTAGATCTGCGCGGGCATTTATGTAGCAATTGATAGATATGTCAAACAGATGCAAGATCAACTTGTCCACAAAATCTATATTTTGTCACTATGTAGAATTGTAAACAGTAATCCAGCACTTTAACCAGCAGGCAAGCCTTTTCTGCTCTTGCTACGGCCATGCCAGACTCTGAGAAATTGCCTAAGTCCATGATCACATGCCAGGTGGCGCCATTTGACGTGATTGATGGATCGGCAAAGATCCGCAGCATAAATCAAATGGCGCCATCTGGCAAATGACTCCCCCTTCTTTCTTCCCCCCTCCACTGCCGTCTCTTCCCCCCTCATCGACGGCCACCCGAGCATGCCCATGAACTGCGCTTCTGGAGTCTGAGCCTCATCCACTTCACCCCCTCGGCCTGGTTTGTCCTTTTTCTAATTATTTGGCCGTATACTAACTGGCCATAGCTCTTTTTCTCGCCGGCCAAATCGTACGATTTTTGGTACGAACCTTCGGTCCCCCTTCGCGCATGTGCTCACTCATTTTCAGCCATATCGACCGTACCGTTCCCGCAAACGATGAAGAATGCCCTCCACACTCCTCTTGTGCCCCCACCACCGCCCTCTATCCCCATATGCCCCCGCGGACACCCCCTGTGACGCTCACCGGCCTTCTCGCCCCCTAGGCTGAGCGAACGCGATGAGCTCGCTCTCGACAGAGCGCGTGCAGAGCGCCTCCACGCCACTGTCGAGAGCGTCTGCTGGACGCTCCCATGGGCCAGCGGTGGTGGTGAGGGCACTGGACGAGTGCAGGGTGTGCATGGTGGCACGGAAGCAGCTGCACGCTCACTATGTAGAGTGCCTGTATTCTGTAGTTGTTGTTATACAATTATTGTCCATTTTTTCATTCTGTGACGGAAATATTGAGTGGACTACTTGGCTATCATTAACTATTAGATGCTACTGGTGCACCACTCAGCTGCTACTGGTTGCTACCAGAATGTGACAGGGTGCTACCAAGCGCCCGAGATGACGGGACTTGTCTACCGGGCTACCACGGCTATCAAGTCTATGTAGTGTGTGATTGCAAAGTTGTCTATTCCTGATGAAAATGGGGGAGAAATCAGTACATGGACTGATTGTGGAGCAGGCACACCAGATATTGGGACACTTAGGTCCGCAACGGACAGGCGATTACATTCGACGATGGTACTGGTGGCCGTCGATGACCAAGCAAATTCACGCATTCTGTTCCAGTTGTCAGACGTGTCAAACAACAAAAACCGAGAATAAGCGACCAATGGGAAAAATGCACTCACTGCCTATACCAAGCAGACCTTGGCAGTCAATATCCATGGACTTCATTGGGCCATTCCCACAGTCAGAGGATAGCGACTATCTGTGGGTCGTACTTTGCCGCTTGACCAATATGGTGCATCTAATACCAATAACCACTCGGACAAGGGCAACAGAGCTAGCCGAGTTGTTCGTGCGCGAGATAGTAAGACTGCATGGCCTTCCGGAGTCAATAGTATCGGATCGAGATTCTAAATTCACGTCAGTATTCTGGCGAGAAGTACACCGAATTCTGGGCGCAAAACTGTTGATGTCCACAGCATTTCATCCGCAGACGGATGGGATGACTGAGCGGGTTAATAGGACGATTGCACAAATTCTCAGGGGACTCATTGCCCCGGACCAGAAAAACTGGAAGGCAAAAACTACAATGACGGAGTTTGCAATCAATGCGAGTGTTTGCGCGTCAACAGGGTACGCACCATTTGACCTTAACTATGGGTATATGCCCGCAATGATCCGGCAGATGAGAGCGGAAAAAGTCCCTGCTGGAGTACGCGCATTTGCAGAAAGAGCGTTATTGAACCTGGCTGAGGCACACGACTCTATTATTGCAGCACGTGTCTTCAATACCTATCAGATGAATAAGCATCGGGGCGAGGAACCGATGATCACCGAAGGGACGTTGGTATATCTATCAACCAAGAACCTAGCATTGCCAAAGTCAAGATCATCCAAACTACTGCCGAAATTTGTGGGTCCTTATAGGGTCCAGCGAGCAGTTCCACATACCTCGAACTATGAACTGGAATTACCTGCAGTGTTAGCAGAGCGCGGAGTGCATAACCGATTCCACGTCAGCATGTTGCGACCGTATATTGAAAGCTCAGACGCCATGTTCCCAGCGCGGGACAAGCCTGAAGGGTACGACTTTGGAGCTCCCGATGAAGCTGAAGTTATGGTGGACCATATCAAGGCGCATCGGTGGACAACCACAGGCAAAGTCGAATTTGAGGTAAGCTGGAATGACGGCGATGTAACATGGGAGCCGTTCCAGGCAGTAAAGCTGCTCATTGCGCTAGATGACTATTTTGCACTGCATGGAGTCAATTCTTGGCGCAAATTGTCGAAGGCTGGAAAGAAGCAAGGGGGAGCAACCGAAAAGAAGCACTAGGCATCAACTGAGGAGTAAAATCGTCAGTGCTTACTTTGCTTCTTACCTTCACCTTCGACTGTTTTTCTCCTACCTTCATTTTCGAGCGACGACTCAACTCCCATTTCATACGGCTTGCTACTGCGAGCATGGCTGAGAATATGAATGAGACGAACGAACATGCTCTCAATCAGGATTTGATAGACAAAAAAGGCGACACCGATGCGACCATGAGGGACGTAGGCATACTCGAGATCGAGGCCCACCTCAATTATGAGGTCCCTGTTTGCTCCTCACTGATGAGCGGTGACGAAAGTAGCGATGCATGCACAGCGTGCTTGAACTATGTGGGGCATATGTCGACCCCGGACAACTTGCCCAGATTTCTGGAAGTAATCGCACACGTGCGAACGCAACAACACCTTGCTAAGGTCTACACGCTTCAAGGAAAAATCGACGGACTGAAAGAAGAGAACGAGCGTCTGAGAGCTGAAAGCACACAGGCGACAGTTCGCGCCGAAATCGCGGAGCGCGAATTAGCCAGTCATAAGGCACAGCCTAGCAATACGGGATTAACCCCGCCTATTGGCTACATGCCCATTGGGCCAGTAAGCACAGCCGAAATTGTCCAAATGGACACTGACGATGACCAGGAATCGGTCGCGGTGATCACTCAATGTCAGCCCCAGCAGGCGCCCCCACTCGTGTCTATGGCTTGGGAACGTAATCAACACAAGACTGAACGGGCCACAATCAAGTGGAGGACAAATGACCAGGGCTTTCCGGCGTCCATTGACGACTACCAACTCGCTATTGCGTCGCTACTGCGAACGCCATCATATGTGCTGCTTCACCAATGTGAAGTTGTACTCGGGCGTGCAACCCAATGGGATGCTCAAGGACGGCCCAATGACGACATGTCGGAGATCTATTCGATGATGCTCGACAACTATGCGCACCCCCGCTGGGCGAGGGACGTCTACGTGGCTATTGCTAACTCCAAACCTAACGATCGTCGTGCCTGGTTCGATAATATGGCAATGCCTACCTTTGGGGATAACCCAAGAACGCTGGTGGCTTACATGCAATTTCACAACGTCGAATTCCCCGGCTGTGCTTTTGTCGACCCATTGCAATCTGTGGACCTATCGCACGCCTGGGGTGTACTGCTGTGGGAACTACTGAAACCCTATCCCGACCGGGTCAATCAACCATCGAATGAAACTACGGGCAATTACATGCTAATGCGCGCACTCGTCGTGGTACTCGGCTGGAATGGCGCCTATTCCAACTTAGTGACACAACATGGACTGCATATCAGTAACGACGGGTTTCGACCCGAACGATGGGATAATCGACGTCTCTCCATGAACGAACTTAGCCCTGCCAACGTGGCCGCGCAATTCGCAAAGTGGGGCATGCACCCTGACTCCGCTGCACGATTTGGAGGGTACCTGCGCCGTTATGCGTGCGATTGGAGAGACCACAAAGTTCCCGGCTCGTATAAGGCTCCAGCGGCGCTAGCCCCTGTCGACGCCACGCAATTCGCTGGGTTCGTTGATCAAGCACTACCTTCCATTAGTGACCACGCACCACTTGGACCAATGGTGCAAATCATTCATCGCAATGAATTCGTGCCCTGGAAGAAGGTCGAGGACCACCGCGCATATTGTGGATGGACAGCCCACTCGGATGGAAGACACCGAATGAACGTCAGATTCGACTCACGCACTCAGCAGTTTGTTCTTCGGGACCACGACACAGGCAGCCACGGGCGCGAGGCAGGTGGAAATGGGAAAGCAACTGGGTGGAAGGCGAAGCCCAAACAGTATCCGTGGCCTTATCCAGATCCTCATTCCTCTCAAAAGCCCGGGCCCTCGTCATACCACTACCATCACAATGAACCTCCGCGCCACGAATATCACCACAAACCAGCATATCGCGCAGCGCCCGACAGTTCCGATAACCGCTTCACATCCAACAATACACCCTTCATGTCGCACTTTCCATCCGAACCAACTCGCGGACGCGGGTCGTGGACGCCCACGAGGTATCTACCATGGCGCATTTCGTGGCGTGGATCCAGGATGAAGATTGCAGACCGATATCTTGCAATGGGGGAGAGTGAAAGGATGGATACTGCCTGCACGCACGACTTCTTGATCAAATCTTGCCATCATACGATCAGCGGTAGTTACCGCCCTAGCCGTTACAGTGGGGATTAGCTCTTACTTCTCTACCACCAACTGTAACCTAAACCTACGTGTTTTCAACAAATACGACAAGTTAAAGTTCTATCGTGGTCCTTGAAGTAAGCGCCCCTTTTAATACCAATGCACAAAGAGGTCAAGTTATTTGAGGATGAATCGAATTGGCAAAGGAGTCGTATCGTAGCTAAATCAAGCACCAAAAGCGTGTCATGATGTGAAATGCCGGAAAGGGAAGAATACTATAGGTGTGGACGGAAAAGATGTCGGAGGGCATGATGGAGAGGTTGGGGTAGGGTGAGCAGTGAGAAGGGTCATCATGCGAGGTCGTAGGTCTTCAAGGAAGTTGCAATTGACATCGCAAAGAACAACACGAGTTACTGCTGCCTCTGGATATACCGCCCTGCGCAGACGACGGTCGTTGATAAATAGTGGACATTCATGGCATTGTGGGCTCGTATTCTAGACACGAAAGATTTGTCAACGCAATTAATTAGGACTGATAGTCCAAACGTGCCTGCAACTTGGCTAGGCGATCTTCCCAACTCAGTCCTGTGTTTCATAACTCCTTGCAACAAGAGCTCCACACCCAGGAGTTCATTGCCAGTAATAGTCAATACGGATGCAGTCGATGAGTTGAGTATCTTGCGGAGTTGGTTGGCGACAGCAAACGGGCTATAAGAGCATGGGGGATAACTTCATTTGCAGTGGTCCTATTTGACGGGATTGGTACCAACGGCGGTGTTTATGCAAGTTCCGCCGAGGCAAGAAATTCGAGTCTTGTGAAGCTGCCGCGTAAATTAGTCAAATATGACCGGAAAAGAAGGACAACGCACTGAGAGTCCCGCTATACCATCCCAACCATACGAAAACCTACAGCGACAACTGAGCATGTCCAGAATGTCTTTTCAAATATCGATTGCTTTGCGGAGGCTTCAGACGCGTTCGGCATCCGCACGAAGCGGATGGAATAGTATGGCGAAGATGAATGGAAGGTCTGGGTGACTGTCAAGAAGGCGAGGATATGAAGAAAAAGCGCCCGTGGCGGACGTACTCGATGCCGCTCAGAATTGCCAAGTACTAGGCGTAACCCACACTTGAAGATGGCGATTTTTGAAGATTCCGGTGCGCTTCATGGTTGGGAGCAAGTTTGACGACTAAAGGATGGCGAAAATAATAGTAAGGCTGGTCGTTATGTCTACCAGGTAGCGGTGGTTGGGAGGAAAGCCTGAAATGGCTGTGTCACGACAGTGTGATCGAGAACTCGGCTTCGCACCTCCACTCGCTCTATACTTACGGTCAACACTCTTGCACCAGTGAGTACGATTTTAACACAAGCCCTCTCTCAAAGCCCCTCCAGAATATGCCTATCCCAGCTTCGCCTTATCAAGCTATACTCCACACCAACACGGTCCCAAGTGATGCGCAATGCGACGAGATTCGCGCCTATCTATCACCCCACAATACGAAACTGGATGAAATGCATGCGGAGATGCACAGTCTGAGAGAACGCCTCCGTGCGATTGCCGTGGAAGCGGACGAACTCTCCGGTTTTGTCGCTTCACACCAAGCGCTCATGTCGCCTATGCGGAGGATGCCCAACGACGTGCTCCAGCTTATCTTCCTCGAAACTCTTCCTGCACATCGCAATGCAGCCCTGGACGCTAGTGAGGGCCCAATGCTGCTCGCCAGTGTCTGCAGTCATTGGCGGGCACTGGCTTTGAGTATGCCGAAACTCTGGTCTAGGATGCATCTTGTCGTCCATCCAATGACGACCAGGACACTGGAGAAAGAACAGCCAGCATTATTGGCGGAAATGACGCGCTGGTTCAGTCGAGGGTCGACCGCTCCTTTGCCAGTGGACGCGTCGGCACAGCGTTACGACCGCATATTCAACGCTGAAGAGCGGCAGAATCTATCTTTTCGTATGCCCGTGCATCATCCAGGTGTGGTTTCGACGTACCTTTCTGCTCTGATCTCGGTCTCTCATCGCTGGCGCGACATTAAATTGTCAAAGCTTTCAGAGTCACCGGAGGACAGGGACGCACTTTTCCAATTAAGAGCCATTGATGTGCCACGGTTGGAGAAGTTCCGAGTCCATGCAGGGGGCACGTGGACGACACCATATAATCTCGAGATTTTATCGGCTCCCAGTCTTCGCGCATTCGTCTTCAAGGGGATCTTTGCCGCTGTTCCTACCACCATCATTTGGCGGAATATTATCGATCTGTCTCTGCAGTTCTTTGACACCGACAAAACTCTAGTTAACAGGCCGGGCCTTCCACTTCCATTCCCGTTCCTCTCCGAATGTACATCGCTGGAGAGGCTTGTCGTCACCGCCGCCGGTCATGTTAGGCATGCAGAACCCGAAACAAATATCGAATTGACAACCCTCCCGAAACTGACGACGCTTGTCCTACGGACAGGGGAGGGATATGACGATAACGCAACACCCAAGATGTTTGCAACGCTGTGTCATTTGCGGCTGCCCCTGCTCCACACACTCGACATCTCTGGTTTGAACCATGAAAGGTCCCTCGCTATCATTGAGATCGTAGGGGATGTGCTCAAGAACCTCGCTTTCTCCTGCGAAGACCTCACATCTGAGGAGGTGCTCGCCCGAATACGAGCCGCTCCCCTTGTTGAGCGTTTACGTCTGGTCAATGAGCCTCAAAAAATCTCCCTCTATGCACGTGGGCCCAAGCCACCACGGGATGGCCAACTGCTCGCCCGCATCATCACCAACTCGATCAACGGCCCTCCAATTTGCCCGGCTCTTCGTCACTTCGAATTGACGGGCGCATCTGCCCTGACGGACGAGCTTCTCTTGCAATTCATCCTCTCGCGCACCCCTCCTGTGGTAGCTTCATACCCTGATCTCGCCCAGCTGGCGGCGCTCAATGTCACTCTTGCTCGTGAGCGCGAAATCGACATCCGCGAGCCTCTATTGGAGGCGATTCAGTCGGACGAGCTGAGGCTTTTCTTGGAGTATGCCGCGCCAGTGACACGCCCTGTGGGATATTCGGCCCTGCAGGGGACAGAGCGGGCTCCGTCGGTTGAGCTCGGGAAGCCGAAGAACATCCAACGGCACCCGGACTGGACAACCAACTTTGCGGCAAGTCGCTGGTAGGTATGCGGAGAATGTGAATGTGTCCGACCTACACCCATAATGCTTCTATATGAGGTTGCATCGGAAATTTCAGTATATATGTAAGATGTATGTACCAGTACTAGTTCATCTGGTCAATAGGATTCCGAGTCAAGTTTTTATTGATCTCTATCCGCTCACAATCCACTCACCGAGTATCTTATTACGAGTAGTATTCTGAGAAAGCCCCATACGAGGTATTTGCGCTGTTGACAAAATTTTGGGCGAGTTGCGTGACGGTGACTGAAGGTGACAGCAAAAAAAGACAAGGCGTCGAAAAGCCAGGCGCGCGAGTCTCTGTAATTAGAACCGATGAAACACGCGGGTTGTGTATTGAATGAGGAGGAACGATTGAAATAGTGTGGTCTCTTCGACCAGGGAAATGGCAACGATGAATGAGTGGATGCTCTGGGACCATCTGGGTATTTGTCGCTGATTAATGTATTGGAATTATAGACACCCGTCTGGAATGCGCCTGCCCTTCTTTTTCAGTTTCGAAATACGGAACCTGTTGAGTGCACATACCGGAGTCTTTCCTTCGACCACATCATCCTCCGTCTCCGCGAGGACAACGACATCTTCTGCGTGAGTTACCGTCGCGTAGACAGTATACCACCAACGTTATCCGTCGCTTTCGATAGGTCCTTGAAGCAAAAAACAACTTGAAGCAGTGTCCTGGGGCTTCATAAAATGCGAATAAAAGCAAAGCACACTGCCAAAAGGCCGCTCGAAAGCGCTGGTGGGCCCGATATGTGGGGAAAGATAGAGATTCTATGACCGTTTGGCCGAGAGGGGAGGGTGTTCTCTGGCTCGAAAAGTGCTCGAAAGTGACGCTGGAAGTGACTAGAATGGCGAAAAAAGTATAGGCGGTGAATGCGGCGTTACTGTCATCTGCCTCCAATGCATATCCTGCGCAGTCTTATCTGAAGCACAGCAGAGAAGGAAGGTGACAGGTGAGACATTAGAAAACCAGAAGGACCCAGTTAACATACCAGCACCCGCAATTCGCCATGACTCATGAACCCTTTAGCGGTCCGCTCGATAGACCACCCTCTTCTGCCAAAACATCGCGTTATCATGCCCCCTCGGCAGCGGTGTTTTGAGCCAGACAAGGGTTGGGATAGGCGGGCCCGTTCGGCGACATGACCGTGGAAGAGAAAGAGTGTGACACACATTCTGGCTTACTCTTCCTTTCGTTTGGCGCGATCCACTGCTTCGCTGTGCTTAGTTGAAGCTTTAACGTTGTTCTGCTATGGACAAGGTGTCCGGCTATGCCCACGGCTCTCTGCCTCCTTCCAACATCCATCTGCTCCGGAAAGAGGCAGAGCAGATCGAGAAGGCCATTATTGATGCACTGGAATGTCAACTAGCACGACTCCAAGACCGTCTCGCTATGATCAATGGCAGTCTATCTACAGTCATTTACCCCGTCAACACTCTTCCTGCCGAGATTCTCTGCAAAATATTCGCGTTCGCCGTGTCTTCCTCTCTCGGGAACGACATCACTCGCACACTGTTACTAATTACTTCCGTATGCCAACGCTGGCGTCAGGTTGCCATCGCCGACCCAAGATTGTGGACGAATGTCGGCTACTTCGTCAGGCGCTTCGATCGGAATGAGCCTGATTGGTTGCTTCGACACTTTCTGTCGCGCGCATTAGGACACCCCATCCGTCTAGCCCTCTCCTTTGCAGCCGCATATAGCAGAGTAAACGTGCTACCCCATCATTTCTTCTCATCTGCTCGTCAATGGATGGAAGCAGACATCACCGGTCCTTCGAATGAGGGCTGGGCCTTCCATCCCTCCGACCTGCCATTGGCTTCCGCACTCGACCTGCCTCATTTGGAGAAGCTTTCTCTGGATGTGCGGATTCACGTTGGAGTGCCTCCGCGCCCCATGTTCCAGAATGCACCTCGTCTTCGCGAGCTATCCATTCGCCAACCACTCCACATTCTGCAGCTCTCGTTTCCCGTCTACCAGCTGCGAAAACTCACGATCCTCCACGGCAGCAACACGGCCGCATGCAGTCACATCATCTCGGTGTTGCCCAAGCTAATCGCTTTGGAGGACCTCACATTACCCTCACTGATTGACGACATGTCGCACGAGTCTCCGACCCCCTTCCCAATGCATCGCCTGGAGACGCTAGCGCTGTTCGGCTGTAGCAGCATCGTCTTACCCCACCTTTCCATGCCATCTGTGACCTCACTCCAACTTTCGGAACTCAGCACTTACATTGCTCTGAGAAGTTTGGATTCGCTCCCCGGCATCGTCTCCGTGTCACTTGTTGGCAGCCGCCCCAGCACATTCGGTGTCGTGCTAAACACCGCCATGTTCACCCCAGTTAAACACCTCACGGTTGATGCATTCCCCATGGCCCCGCCCAATGCCACACAGTGTGCCACCGATCTTGGAACTCTCCTACCGAACCTTGAGTCGTTCACCGTCCGGATTCCGCCTTCCATGACCTCCGCCAGCTCCCGGTCAGTCCTACGCCCATTCATCGATGGAATCGTCATGCGCGCCAATATCGCACGCGCTGCTGGCGTCACAGCCATGAAGCTCACCCATTTCATCGCCGACTTTGCGCCCTTAACTGTGCAGCCTGTGCTGTTTCCCGAAGACACACGTGACTTGAAGCACCTCCAGCAAACGACGAATATACAGATCTCGATGCCAAACGGATATCCGGCTCGAAAAAGGTGGCGGTTACAGGCAGGCAACAGCAACGAGGAGCATACGGAGGAGCTCATCCAAGAGGTGAATTCAAAAAATCCACTTGTAATTGGGTAGAAAACAAAAATCTCTGTCTGTGAAATAGTAGTAGATCAACAACAATGACTCAATGGGTAAGTAATGTTAGTGCACTAGTACTGATGGAAGACAGAACTGTCACAGTTGAAATGTTTGACTCATTGGCAAACTTGGTTGACTACTTAGAGTGATATTGACAGAAAGTATTCTGAGACAATCAAGGCTGTGGTGAAAGGTTTCAGTTGGGTATCAGGGGAACCTCCCTTTCAGCCCCTTGGAGACATCTCCGATTCCGGGCCGATTCCAGTTCTAACTCTGGTCTGGCCCTCCATGTCGCCCACACAATCACCGATCCGTCAACACCCTCCCAACGGTTGCCCTGGGACCTTGCCTGCAATGCCGCCCAGGCTATCTGTGCCTGACAGCAGCAGCTACAGACAAGCAGTATACTGACCCATTTCAATCAATTCTGCGGGTCACGGTCACATCGGATTTTTTGGCCGAAATATTTCGGCCGGTCACGGGTCACAGCCATTTTTTGGTCCCAAACCGTCCCAATTTGGAGAAATCTCAAAACTTTCGCGCCTCTGGCGTGCTAAATTTCTTATTTAGGTAAGAGGTCACACAAAATTCGGCCGCAGGCCAAATTGAACATTTCAGCGAAATGGTCACGGGTCACAGGCCCGCTGAATTGAACGAAATGGGTCAGTATAGTCAGCTCCCTAGCAGGCGGACCCTTAGAGTTTCTTCTCTTTGGATCCTCCCCTGCTAGACCTTGATCTCAGGCCTCCGGGGTTGCCCTTACATTGGGAAGAAATTTGAGTCAACAGTATCAATGGGAGATGCTACATAGGAGGGAAAGAAATACAATACATCAGTAAAATAACATAAAAGTCTTTGAGGTTATTGTGGTCTTTGGTGAAGACCAAAAAGACGTGAAAGACTTAAAAGACTTAGAAGACCTTAGCAAGACCTTAGGTCTTTGCAAGACAGTGAGTGTCCTGGTCTTTGGAAAGACCTTGAGGTCTTGGGAAAGACAACCAAAAAGACTTGATAGAAGACCATGAAAGATGCTCTAGTAGTATTCAGGATGCAATAAATGACGGAAATTAAATTCATAAATGACTGTTCTATATACATACTATATATATACTAAAACACATATCCCAAGCTGTTGACTTCCCTGCCCACCCTGCCCAGTTTCATGCCAATTCCCACCAAACTACAGCATCAAGTGCTTCCTCCCTACCAACAGGCCTAATCTTGGGCGGACGAGGCCAGTCATGGCCCGTTCGGCCCCATTAGGAAAACTCAATTTCCCTGGAGTCCCTGGCAAGCCTGTCTGTGCCCTTCCAAATTCTGTCATCAATCTGGCATGGCTATTTCAGCTGGTGCTAGAGATTTGACAGAATGAAGATTTGTAAGTTGTTGGCCAAATTCTGCTGTGCTTTTACTGAAAGTTGTTGTGCAGACAGGCGTAGCGCAAGTTGCTGCTGTTTTAGCAATGTCAGGTGCCATAGGAGGCGGGCCTGACTGCTGCTGTGTCTCAGGGTTCTGCCATGCTGCAGCTTTCACCTGTGTATAGTTTTAAAATATGTTATATGTAAAACAACAGAATAAATGTGTTTTCTACAACAATTGAAATTAAAATTTGTAGGATTGGTGAGCATTGGAACAGCCCTGTAGAGATTCTGGAGGAATCCTGGTGCCAAAATAAATTCTGGCACTTGCCACCTGTTTAGCCCACAACCCACTGTACATTATCAGTGGTAACCCAGCGGGTTGCCACTGATAAGTTGCAGTGCTGGCAGCACCTCCCGAGTGGTGAATAATTGCTGAAGAGAGGGGTGAATAATTCTCAACTCCAAGGCAAATTTCTGCTAAGTTGATGATAAGCCGCAGTCTGGGACAGACCAGGAAACGACTATTTTTGTCGATTTTGTTGCTCAGCGCAGGTCTCAGAGTTGACATGAGTCCCGAATGGTCAACTAGGGAGTTATCTGCACAAGAACCAGTCAAATCCAGTCAAAATCTATCAAATCGCTCTCAGTGATTCCAAAATCTTGACTAGGAAAAGTTCGCAGAGCCCGTTTCTCGCTAGAATCTATCCAATTCTATGCAAAATACCCAAAGGGAGTGTATTCTAAAAGGCATATTCGGTTTGGCGCTCAGTGGAGACTCGAAATCGACAACTCCTAGACTAGGGCCACCCCTATCTCTGTTGGTATCGACAACTGACATCATTGGAACGTGGTTTCGGATCATGCTGGAGGATCGAGAGTGCCAAGGGACGGTTAAACGGCGAAAACCTACTCAATTGATTGGGGCCTGGACCTGTGATCAACGGCGACTCTAAAACACTGTCGAGGAACTGATCATCTGAACATTGGAAATGCGCCAGGAGAGTTGGGGCAACTACCGCTGAGGCCATACGCACAAGATACGAGTTATGGGTGTCAATCGAAAGCTGGGAAGCAGAGCTATCCACTTATCCTACTCAAGATCGAGGGATTCTTCACAAGGCAAACTAGATGGTCGCAAACACGGAAAATTTACACAGGTCATTGACTCCAATACACGCGATACCAGTCATCTGGACCTAGGATTTCAACTCTGGGCCGTATGGCGAAACGATACCTATACAATTATGCACATGGACGACTTTTCTTACTCGAGATTTTCCCTGATTCTATCAATTTTGTTTTAGTATTTATATCACTGTCTTGTATTTGGGGGATTCACGGATTGCCCCGCTCTACTAGGTGCATCTGGGGATCTAGCTCGTCAAATCTATCTTGCTAGCTCTTTCGAAATAGTATTATCGCGTTGGAAGGATTATTGGTTGAGGGTTTCGGTTGCTGAATACAAGAGTTCCGGTTGCTGTTTATTGGGTTTCGGTTGCTGGTCGAGAGTTTAAGGCAGTTAGTTCCTGACTCGAGACAACTCAGAGGGTTTAAGGCAGTTAGTCCTGATCCAACGAGTATAAACTCTCCGGGCATCATATTGGCGCTTCTCTATTGTGGAGTTTCATCGATAGTACGCTTTGGGGCACAACAAATCAACGTTTTTCGCAAGAAACTCGTATCAACCCTACAACGTTACACATTTGTGCCAAGGCTCTGTTCACAGGGGTCTGTTCTCGCACAAGGAGTCGACGATATTTTGGGTTTTGTGACTTTTCCTACTCAACATTATACATCTTTCTCTCTACTTTAAGTGGAGTTTTGGTTGTTTTTGTTGGTTTGGTTAGTTAGAGAGCTCATTTGCTGTCCCCACTCCGCACTCATCATCGAATAGGTAGGGGGGTGAATAAAGGTGAATAATACAACACAGGCCATCAGGACCAAGTCTGACACAGTGTCCCAAAAAGGAATTTTTCTTTAATACCCACCGTTTAGTACCTATACTTACTATGCTGTGATGTAGTGTAATATAGAGTGATATATATAATAAATTTCTATAAAAGGAAATTTTGGCCATTTGAGAATATCATCATTAGAGAATGTCACAAATGGTCACAACAATCAAAGTTGTACATTTTGACTATATAAGTAACTTTCATTAAGTAACCTATAGTGGCAGCTGATTAGTTATGTCAGCATTAGTGAATTACCACATGATGTATGACTGATGAGCCTCTATCTCCATAACTACCTGATGAAAAAACATGATCTAAGTACTGCTGGGAAGGTTCTATAGGGTATTATCAATAGATCATGGTATGTCATCACCATAACATAATATAATCACTGTAGTTACTAATTGGTCATATAAAAGGGAATATCTGGGACTGCAACATTATACAGCAGATGCCCTATATATCTAGAGACCCCAAACTAAAGCTGTAGACTGTCTAATTCCAACCCTAAGTAAATATGATACTGTGTATGCAGTGCATGCACTCATCAATGGTATTTGATCTTCATCAACACTGAAAGATAACTGGGGATCTTGAGTTTGCCTGGGTGAATCAAGCTGGGAGGAGACTCATTTGAAAGGTATACCATCCTATTATACCCTCGTCTATCTAGCCATCTCATCTGGTATTACCACATCAATCTATTAACTGCTAAGCATGATAAAATGCTGAGTTGAGGAGCATTTTGCTGATATCCGGGGATCCCATTCATGGAATCTCATGATCTAAGTTGATCCAGCTTCAGGTGATGGTCTACCATAATCCTATTGATTGGTGATCATGCGGTAAGTCCTGGAGTGGGTCAATCTCCAGAGAACTTAGGTGCTATATAACCTAGAATAGAGATATGCTCTAATGGTATGGGCATCAGTTTCCGGGAGGTGGATCATACCCCTACTAGTGCATGTACTCAGATTGCTCAGGTTCACCAAGGCCATATCATGGTGGACTCATCATTATTGGTATAGATAACACTGATAATGATACTGTGTAAGATCCAGAACAGCTATGAGTTTGGTTCAAGTGCTGGACAGGTTCATTTGAAGGTCCATACAATCCTAGGATCATGTCTTAGATCATGGTTGAAATTAATTTCTAACCAGTTGTAATAGCGAAGACACTCTTTTTTGCTCTATGGGTACCTACCCTCTCTTCAGCTACCTCTGAGGATACATACCAGAACCATGATTAATTATAACATAGGGTCCTACTAGACATCCAAATATCCTCATCCTTGCACCTCAATGCCCAGTACTCAGTCCATAGACCCTGCCATTTAACTGAACCAATTCTGTACTCAACCTGTGTTAGAGTGTTCACCCCAATTCATCCTCCAGGAGTATATAAAGATCAATCTGAGCAGGTGGGGAGTTTATACATAGTATTGACTGGATTTTACATAGTTGGATCTATAATCAACTAGCAGATTATAGCTGTATTGTTAATATCATCTGTAATGGTATTCATGAGTATAATTAAGAATAACACCAGATTGCATTCATAGAATGGTTTGTGAAGGATATCATCTCATAGGGGGACCCCTCTGTATGCTTCCTACCTGAATCCCATTAGGTAATCTTCACTTCCAAGTCAGTTATTAGGGGATTAGAGTAAGAGGATA